ATGAAAATAAAGAAGAAAGAAAGTTTAGTGTATAGCACAAGTATACAACTCAGCATTACAAATGTTGCACCTACTTTTGCCCTCCATGTTTTCAATTATTGGGAGATACGGATAAAGGAGAAGGAGTTTTGTTCTTTGGGTTGGAGAAAAGCATAGATGAAAAATATCTCCTAATAAACACTTTGCTCTCCTTTGCACATTATTCAGTTTTCGTTACTTCATTCTTCTCTAGTTTGTCACATTCCTCTTGTCTTCTTCCCAATAGATTTCATTTATTAGCTTCACCAATAATCCAATGCATATATTTCATATTTAAGTAGTTTAAATTGGAACATGTATAAGTTGAGACCAAAATTAATTTAAGGAGCAGTTTTGTGCATGTTCTATCAGAAAGTTGAATTTGAAATTGGTGAATGAGATGCATGATGCATTATTGTGATACTTTTGAGCTAAGCACCTGAGTTATGAGCAGATCACACCCTGATTACGTTGGCCTTGTGGGCCATAATTTTATTGAAGCAACACAACACTTGATCACCATTGGTTCACAAAGCCCAAGCTGCACATGGGTCACCATTTCCACGTGATTTTCCATCCACGAGACACGTGCATCCCACAGAGTTGTTTTTGAATTACAAGAATAAAATGGAGTATAATAATATCCAACAAAGGGTGGCGAACACGGTAAGTAAATAAAATGCGTTGCATATGAGCTATAAACTAATACTTCTAAATCAGAATAATAATGAAAAATGTTTTACTATAAATTACTACAATATTAAACCACTCATGTATTGTGCTGTGCCGCCAAAGGAAAGAACATGTGTATGTGTGCATCGTGTAATATAGGAAAAATAAAACCTTATCCATGAAGGGTAGTTTTCATTAGAGAATCTTAGAACCTCACGTCACACTACCTCCTTGTTGTATGTACAGTGGAAAGAGTCTCCCATTAAACCCTAAATTTTAATCACGGGTTAATTTCTTAATGAATTACTTTATAACTAAGATTGGCTATATATATACGAAAAGGATATTGTGGCATAAGAAATATTTAATGTCCATCCTAGCAAAGTGATATGCCTTTATTGGAATCCTATTTTCTTCTATCGCTATAAACTTATAACCAAGATGATTTCTGGGACGTTCTTTTAGTGCAGTGATGCAATAATTAAGTAGTTCAGCTTAGATGATTTTTTTTAAGCTAATTAACAAGAGAAATGTTTGGCTATAGCTAGAAATTACGACTGAACTAGGTGTAACCATGGCACGGCAACAACAAGAAACGAGAGATTCTAATTACGTAGTACTAAAATAACCTCTAATTAGGTACCACAATCATTTTAGAATCCCAATTTTAGCAGAAAATGGTCCCCAACATCATCCATATATAGGAAGACATTTGAAATTATAAAAATGATATGAAGAGAAGATGGTTACATGAAAGACCGAATTGTAGGACCATGTACATATCTTATCAGTAAGGCTTCTTTTAACCATGTGATAAACACTGTACATATTCGCAGCAGTTCAAAAACTGAGAGAAAGAAAAGTCAGATAAGAACTTGAAAGACCTATTTCTAGGACCCCAAGAAAACGCATTCAAATAAAAGGGTGATTGACCTTACCTTCGGAATTATAGAGGAATATAATAATTGGCAACAGTAGAAGGAGAATGACAACGAAATGAAGATAAGTCCAATTATAAATTATGGGCTCACCAATCAAATAATGTCTAATAAAGGGCCTATTTTCTCTGTTGGGTAGTAAGGTAGATGTCACTGCAGCACCAATTTTTTTGCTTAATATAGGGAACCTAGACACTGCATGTGTTGTAAGCAGAGTTAAACTTAAATGAGCGTTTGATATGTTTGTTACCCTCTTCTTTAAAAAGCTCCTCTCAATAATTTCTGACCCCATTTTCATACATACAAACAAACAGAGACTTCATAAGGTTTAACCAAGAGTTTTCAAGTAATAATTGGTTCTCCATAACGGAAATAGAGAGAGAAAGAGAGAGGAAAGGAAAAGAAAGGCCCATTGAAGATGGAATGAACAAGTTATGGCTATCTGATGGAGGAACAAGAGGGACATGAGGACATGCAGAGAAAGCAAGTATTCAATTGCACCCACCAAATTGAAGTGAGAAGTATCAGTGTAGTGCATGAAATTATTTTTGTGTTCTAAGGGCTTCAAGGGGGGTGTATCACATAAACAAGTGGGGCATCTTAATTTCTTTCCATTGATGATTCCCACCAAATTAGCAATAAATTAAACAGATGGTGAGCATCACAATGAGGGGTCCCCTTAGCTGTTCCAGCTTATAGCAGAATAGCAGCCATGTGTATGGAAGAACCAAACTTTGTAGACCCTTGTCCTTAAACCTTGGGGGTTCAAATGGTCCCAATATATCCCGGTTGGAACAGTGCCAATACAAATGTTGTTCACGTTACTAGAACAACATGTTCTGCTGCTCAAGAAGAAAAACTGAGAATTGAAAAAACAAACATGCAAAATCAGACTAATTAATGTTTCTCATTAAACATTTTCATGCTTTTTAATGTTAAATAGGTAACAAATTTATTATAATATGGTGATTTATTTTTATTAGTAAGATTTTCTTTGTCAATTATTTAAGTGTAAAATTGTTATTTATTAAGAAAAGTAATGGAAGGTAAAAAAGAAGAAGAAGAAAGTAATAATAATTTATATTTCTGTTTAGAACATGCCATACCTTAGTTGATAAACTCTAATAAGAGTGAAAATCATATTTTAATTTTCTTTTTCTTGAAGATAGCAATGGGAATAGGTTTTAGTAACCAATGATTTTTATCCATATTGATACTCATTTTATAATGTATTTAAAAAGAAAATAACTACCATTTTTATTTTTAGCTCAAAATAAGATAACCCTCATAAGAGTCGAAATCAATATAATTTATATATATATTTTTATTTAATCACCTAAGTATTTTTTAAGGAATATATTAGATTTAAAAAAAAATATATCTCAAATATTTTAATAAATTTTTAATAATACTAATACAATGAATATGATATTGGGACTCTGTGTAACAATAATAATAAAATCATTTTTATTTTGAAAAAATCGAAAGATGGGAGGGGTAATTTATAATGGGAGGATAGAGTAAATTATTGTTTTAAATAAATTTTATGTTGTGAATATATAATAAATTTATATTAAGTTTCTATTAATTTAAATGTTTTAGTTTGAGTAGGGTGACATGGCAAGGTGTGGGGGCAATGGAAAGTGAAGTTAGAGAGGCTTTTAAGACAAACCCATCTTGCTATCTAATCCCAATTCATGTGCATTCATTAATCAATCAGCCTCAAATAAAAACCAAACCAAACCAAACCAAACCCTCTCAAAACAAAAACCATGATTCTTGTGTCTTACCAGACAACACTCCCTTTCTAACTCACTCCCCATAAATATGCTCCTCTTTTCTCACCATTTTCCTCTCACTTCTTCTTTTACCCCTAACTCCTTTTTATCTTATCATCGTCCATGCCTCTCCTTCTTCAACCAAACAAACCTCAAATAACCACAACATCACATCCATTTTGTTAAAAGGAATTGCCTGGAGATAATGTGTTGGAGACATAATAACCAAAAGATTATCAATTTCTTCATTCAACGTGTGTCTATTTTAAAAATTATATTTTAATAATAAAGTATCTCACGTAAAAGTATCTCACATAACTTTATTAATAACTTAATAAAACATTTTTTTCACATTTTAAAACTAGAATAAATATTTAATTTTTTAAATAATTTAAGACTAAATGAACAATTTATTTAAATAATAATTAAAAATTAGTGTTGGTTCAAAAGCTCTAATGATATCCCCTTTGTACCGAAAATATCCGCTTCTCAAATTATGGATGGCCTGTCTCGTTCACTGTGATAATTGCAACTTTAAAAGTTACAAAATCATAATCATCATTCAATAGCAAAGTAGTGAAAAAAAGTGCGTTTTAATGAGGGACGGAGCCACAAAAAACTCTGAAGGGCCATTTTTTTTTTATTTCTAAAAAACACTAATAAAAAATGGACTATATATCTATATACTAGTGCAAACTTCTATTATGAGTACAAGATACAAATGTTTTGCTGGTTACTATATTTCTCAATTATTTTTATTTATTTAATTTAAGATTAACAAAATTAAGTTGGTATACTTCGTTGTTTCATGGATAGATTACGCTCCAAGATCACATGTGGAGGTACTATTTGTTGGCCTCTTTATTCACAATTCTCATTGAGTCAAATATGGGTGTGTTACGCAAAAGGGACAACAGAAAAGGGTGATTGTAAGATTTGTATGTTTGAAAAAAAAAAAAAATGATGAATGCAAGAGGGAGTAAGGAAATGATATAAGGTCAACGTATAGAAAGGTTAAATTAAATCCGTGATTGAATTAGTTGGGTAGGAGAAATAAATATGAATGGGATCCTCCTCTTGCAAGCTTTGTTTACTTTTTGGGCATCTGGGTGCAGTTTATCTTTCCTTAGTGGTTGAAACTAGAAACCGAGGACCCGTGATTAGTGACCGGGTATCGCCGGCTGAGTCAGGTACCAAATCATAAATATTAGTAGCTTATTAGGGTCATAGACTCATTAGGTTATGTCTGTGGGGGATGAGAGAGAGAGAGAGAGAGAGAGCAAATGCCAGCTATGAATTACAAGGATGAAAGCTTTCCATGAGGGTCAAAGCTGTCAATTTTTTAGTTTTCCCCCCTCTCTTTCTTTCTCTCCTTCTTTCGCCTTATAACCACGTCTATATAAAAACCCTTCCCATCTTCTTCCTCTCTATTTCCTCTGCTTCTATTCTTTCTCTCACACTCAAACATTCTTCTCTTCTCTTCTCTCTACCTCCCCCAGTGTATTCTCAGAGCACAGAATTTCTGTAGGAGGGAGGTGGGAGAAGAACGAAGAACAATACAAATTAACTCCCTCTCTCAACAATTTTATGCTAAATGGCCATCACTACTCACTCGCTATCCGCCACAGAAAGAAAACACTGGTGGCTTACCAATCGAAAGGTAATCTATCACATCCTTTTACTCTATTTAAATTCTTGATTTCAGTTTTATTCGAAATGTTTGGGATCACACGTTAACACATTTCTGCGTTTTGAAGATTGTTGAGAAATACGTAAAAGACGCTCGGAGTCTTATAGCGACGCAAGATCAGAGGGAGATTGCTTCGGCTCTGAACCTTCTAGATGCCGCACTGGCTATTTCTCCGAGGCTGGACCAAGCGCTTGAACTGAGAGCCAGGGCTCTGCTCTATTTACGCCGGTTCAAGGAGATTGCGGATATGCTTCAGGACTACATTCCGAGCCTCAGAATCAACGATGACTCATCCTCTTCCTCTGTCTCCTCCGACACCTCTTCGCAACAGCTTTCCAGGGAAGGAGTGAAACTTCTCTCTCCCTCTGAGTCGCCGGTGCGGGATCAGAGCTTCAAGTGCTTCTCTGTTTCCGACCTCAAGAAGAAGGTCATGGCAGGGCTGTGTAAAACCTGCGAGAAAGAAGGGCAATGGAGGTAATTTCATATTTTCCTTTTTATTTTCTCTCTCTGACACTCGCATGCATTATTTTGTTTCATTGGTTTTGCTTTGCCGTGCCATCTGTTTCGAGTTTTTGTGGGTTTTAAAAATGGAATGTCCTCGTTATGGTATGGGGAGTTCACTTTCTTCATTTAATTAATAATTAATAATGGTTTAATGGTTAATGACTTTTATTTAAGTTTGACATCAGATGGAAGTAACTGCTGAAACGCACTTGACTAAACGCAAGAAGTACTAATTATAAAAAAATGTTTACCGTATTGGTTCGTTTAAACTTGGTACATTTATGACTTCAATCAAGACATGTACATTGTACGCTGGTGTTCTTTGTTTTTATCTCAAAAAGCATACCTTCTTCCTGTCTTCAACAGAAAACAAATAAATGCAGCTCCTGTTATGAAACCGCATCTGTGCGTAGATATTTATCTTTCACTTTAATTTTCTTTTCTGTTTTACGTTACACACAGTTTCCCAAACAACCTTTCAAAATCAAAAGAAACAATTTCATGGGCAGGGAGAGCTTTCCTGTATAAAAATCTAATCCGGGTTGGCGTATATCATGTGACTTCAATTTCTGATGTTGTTGGGTAGACCTATTTAGGATCATTTAATCTTTTTATCTTGTTTCGTGACACTCCGTTCCACTTTACTGGCAAATTTCTGCGTCTAATTAATAAATACATAAAATAAGTTGACGGGCAATATAGTTAAGATTAGAAAATCAAATGATGAAATTATTATTTGAAACATAATCATATAAGAGACTACACTCGGTATTAAACCATACTTATAATCAAATTTTAATCAAGCATTACAGTTGTATTATAATTGTTATTTGAGTGAGATTAATCAATTGAATGTCGAATTTTCAAACAGATACTTGGTGTTGGGTGAAGCATGCTGCCACCTAGGCCTAATGGAGGATGCAATGGTTCTTCTTCAAACGGGAAAACGTCTTGCTAGCGCCACACTCCGGCGTGAGAGTGTCTGCTGGTCACAAGACAGCTTTAATGTTACAAACTTCCAATTCTCCGGCGACGGCCCAAATGCGCCACCCACAACTCCACCGCGAAGTCTTCTGGCGGCAGACTCCGAGAGCGTGACCCAACTTCTCGGCCATATAAAGTTCCTCCTCCGGCGAAGGGCCGCCGCAATGGCCGCCCTTGACGCCGGGCTCTACTCAGAGGCCATCCGCCACTTCTCGAAAATTGTGGACGGCCGGCGCAGCGCATCTCAGAGCTTCCTTGTTGAATGCTACATCCACCGCGCCTCCGCGCACCGTTCCGCCGGTAGAATTGCAGAGTCAATTGCGGATTGTAACCGCACCCTTGCTTTGGACCCCGCTTGCATCCAAGCGCTCGAAATCAGAGCTTCACTCTTCGAAACCATTCGTTGTTTACCCGATTCTCTTCACGACCTCGAACACTTGAAGCTCCTCTACAATTCAATTTTACGAGACCGCAAGCTTCCCGGTCCTGCGTGGAAGCGCCACAACGTGCGTTATAGGGAAATTCCAGGGAAACTCTGCACCCTCACTATTAAAATTCAGGAACTGAAACAAAGGCTGGCTTCTGGAGAAACAGGGAACGTTGATTACTATGCTTTGATTGGTGTCCGACGAGGTTGTTCGCGGTCGGAGTTGGAGAGGGCTCACTTGTTGCTTTCCTTGCGGCACAAGCCTGATAAGTCAACGGGGTTCATCGAAAGGTGTGAGCTTGCGGATGAGCGTGATATTGAGTCAGTTAAAGAGAGGGCGAAGATGTCATCTTTGTTGTTGTATAGATTGGTTCAGAAGGGTTACACTAATGTAATGAGTAACATCATGGATGAGGAAGCTGCTGAGAAGCAGAGAAAGAAGTCTGCTCTGCAAGCTATTCAGGCGCAGAAAGAGAAAGCCAATGAACCTGAGTTGATGAGCAAGGTTGAGTGTATTAGGAGCAACGTGGAGAATAATAATGATAATAACAATAACAATGTGGCTCAAATGTCTCAAAATAAGTCCATGGTGTGTTCTTCTACTGTGAATCCGGCGATGTTTCAGGGTGTTTTCTGCCGCGATATTGCGGTGGTGGGTAACTTGCTTTCTCAGGTGGGGTTTAATCGGTCTATGCCGGTGAAGTATGAAGCGTTGAGCTGTTGATTGAATTGAATTGCCTATGATATGGAAATGTTTGGTTGGGGAATGTTGGAGTTGGTACCGACAGAGGAAATCCCTGAATCGTTGGTTCACTATGATGTACAAATTATGCAAAGCAAAAACAAAATATTTAGACTGCTGGAAAATTTTGTCACCTTTTCCTTTTTATCTTTTATTAGTCATCTTTCTATTATCTCTATCCGATGTACAGATTATCAGTACTGAATGCAGCCTCTACTTTTTGGATTTTTGCTTCGACCCTCCTTCCTCTCTAACTTCGTATATAGGTGATACTGATTTTTGGTTTAATGGAAATCTTGTTCGTCTTTTCTTTTGTTCCATGAAATCTTGTGCTTCTAATGAATATGGTAATAAATTACCAAAATATCTGTTTTGTTAGGTAGTGTAAACTAAAGGCTTTTACTGTTTGTTATCGTGCCAGCCAGTTGCGTGGAATAGTAACACGAAGTCTGCAGATGATTGATTTCCTTTTTCCCGTTGTCTTTCCCTGTTTGCTTTCTATTTTTCTCGGGCTAATAATCTCTCAGGAAAGCTGACATTTCATTAAATTTTCTCTGTTTTCGTATCCACCAAAAAAAAATTCATGAGTTTTTGGATATAACTTAAGTCTGAAAATATTATATCTTCTTATTTTGGTAATTCTTTTTCGTGCTTATACTGCTACTGGTAATGGCTTGTTCTTTTTATATGAACACGAAGCGTAGCTGTTGAGCCGAGGAGAGTGAAGAGGGTAAAAGCAGAGTTTGAATAATCGCTTGTTATTATTGATAAGAGATTGTCCATGTCTCAGATCATGACTTTGAGGTATGTGAACGTGGTCATATTGTAGTGGTGAACAGTTTTGAAGTGAACAGGGAAAAAGGGTTGTCAGGTTTTTCTTTCCTTAATCTTCAGGTCTATCCCCATTCAGATACAACAAAAGAGCAAGGGGTCTAGTCTGCACTCAGTACAAGAAAACAAAGGGATTAGGTACAAAATGTCATTAACTTTATTGCCTCTGTACACAAGTTCCGTACTGCTATATTTTAGGTTGAGTAAGTTATGTTCCTTACAAAATGAAGTGTTAGCAGGACGAGTGAAAGCTAGCATTAGCAAGTCTCAGGAGGTTGGTGGTGTTGTTGCCTTGGTAGCACCTACAAAGCAAATTTTTTCAATCCTTTCGTTTGACCGATATTAAGAGGGGTCAGTTTGAAATCAACTTGGGTTTCAACCTCCCAACCCAAGAGTAATAATGGTTCATGATTTGAGGCGTGGCTTCTGATTCATGAAAAGACCTCTGTTATTCTGCTCACAACAAAAGATGCATTATTGTATTTTTACAGTGATTCCTGGCTGTCACATTGACGAATGATACAACTGTTGCCAGAAAAGAGAAGTTTTGAACACACCGGCTGACTGGATGCTGAGTTGAATCCAAAATGTGAAAGCAGCTCAAAACTTGTGATTAGAAAAAATCATATAGATCTTTCACTCACAAATAATACAAATAGTAAATCAGAATCTTCTGCCCAAGGAGAAATAAAAACAAACTACATGCATTGAGAATTTCCAAAACGGAGGAGAGAGATATTTCATGCTTTTAATTTGGTGTGGCGTAATTTTTGTTTTGGTCAACGTGTAGATTAATCTTGAATATGAATGCTATTGAATAATTCGTGAAAGAACATACCAGACATATTGTACACGTAAATTTTTAACCATTTTTGTTAGGCATTTATTTAACGGCCATCCTAATTTAGAAGCTTCCTTAAGAGCCACAAGTGTCCAATAGTCTCATCGATCTTTACCGGGGAGACCGAAAATTTTCTTCCTTTCCTTGCTTGCAAGTGATTTGATGCCTTTTCCCCTTAGCAAGAATAAACAACTAAAAGAAAAGATTTGACGTCCCTTTTCCTTGAAGAACGCCCCTTTATTTTTCCACTTTACTCTATCATTAGATTCTCACTTTTTTTTTCACCCTTTACCCTCAAAACCGTAAATGAAATTTTATATTATCAAGATGTCTCGAGTCGTCCACAATCATTCAATTACCAAATAGTAGTAATTTACTACTCTATTCTATGAATGCTCTCAATCTTTTTACTGATAATAAGAAAAATACAGAACTTAACTCGGAACCCTTGATGGAAGAGTTAGTAATATGTTGCAATGTTTGGAAGTGGCATTAGAGGATACAAACGTAAAATAATGAAGTCCCACACCTTCCATCGTGTTAGCTACCTGCACTAAAAAGTGCTTCCCAACTCACACGAAGCAAACATTTAAATAATGGGACCTGGGATGGGGATTAAAATGGTTGAATTTTTGAAACACGAAATAAATATATAGCTGGATGTATTGTGTACTTCGCAACGATTCACAGCTAACCCTGTACTGTTTCTAAGTTTTTGATTGCTCCCTTTTCTTCTTAGAATTAAAATTGAAACATTCGTTCATTTATTACATTCATATAATAAAATGTCCTATTTATATAATATTTTTCTATACTATACCACAAATATTATTTCTCACTTATTTATAAGCTAGATCTACAATAATGAATTGTATTGGTGGAGAAGAGAAGAACATGTCTCGCACATCTCCATCATTTGTGTAAACAACAAAATTCTTCTACCTAGAGCGATTTGGCAAATTAGTGATCTCGAACTACTCCTCTGACAGAATACTACTTTATTCTTTACATAGTATAAATATATTTGATGAAAGCAATATTTTGTGAGATTTTACTTACCTCCCCACCTAGTCAATTGAAATATTATATGAAAAAAAAAAAAAAAAACTTTTCATATTCGCATTGATACATTTCAATTTCCTGAGGCGAAAAAAAGTTGATTCTCACGTTACGAGGGCTCTATTTCTTTACTACTTTATTCTGTTGTCAGAGTTTTGAGGGCATCTGTGAAGACTTTTTCATCCCTCTTTTGTGTATGTTTGAGTGTGGCACTTAGATCATCTCCTGACTCGTGAGTGTCTACATGTGTGGTTTAGTCTGATACAGTTTGTTAAATCTATAGACTAATTAGAGATAGTCTATGTTCATTGTGAACTACATGTCTTCCACATCATTGTATCCAGACTCTATAAACCGAACAATCAACGAATCTTAAGGAATCAAGAGTTTAGATTTCCTTTATATATATATATTTAAGAGAACTAGACTAAGAGGAGGACATCTAGTAATAGTTTTATGCAAATGTTTTGCCAAGACTGTGGGGGTTTGAAATTGAGATAAGTAGAAACATGTCTAAGAGGTGTTTGGGAGGGAAAAAAATAACACCACATGTTTGAATGTAGGGAACAATAAAGGAAAATCATGGGCACTTATAATGTTTGAGGCACCATGTGCTATTATCATGTGGCTTCTCCATCCAAACAATGATGAACTGTAGAGGGTTTCACTTGGGTCTTTGTCAAACCAGGGTGGCACAATGTGCTGGACGAAATATCTGACAAATCTTTTTCACATTATTAATTTCCTTCCATTCATTAATTCTATAACAATGCAGATAATTACAAAAGAAATAGGTACGAAAAAATTGTTTTTTTCTCATTGTTTGGGACATGGGGAGTCGAATTTCATTATGAGTTAAAAAGAGAAAGAAACGTTTTATAGAGATCCGAGTTTGCAGTAGCAAGCAACCTTTACAACTCATTGAGAATGGTTTTTATGTCACTATATGTAAACTAGTCAATTAAATTTCCCACCTTAATATTATATATGCAAAATTGTAATCACTTTTGATAATAGATTACTTGTTTAAGGAGAGATTCTGAAAATAACCACTGCTACTAATATAGGATCTCTAGATATGGGCATTGTCCAATGCTCATTGCCCTATTCCTCTACCTATATATCTAATGCAAACGTTATGGATATGGTGTTAGGCACTACAATGTAATGAGATTCAATGTGAATGCAGTATTTTATGAGCATGAGGAAAAGAGTATGGGCCATGATCATCATGATTGTGTAGAGTTGCAGAGGACCATGTAAATTAGATTATGGGAATGGGAAAGAAAAGTATGGAAATGAAAGTTTTTCCAAATTTTTATCTGTGCCTGAAAAAGTTTGTATTATAGTTTGGTTGTTGATTGCTGGCGTTTCCACTTGAAAAATTTGAAGTATATGAAAAAAAAGTAGTGGTACAATTATAGACTTTGTGATCCCACAGGTTGAAATTTAACATGAAGCCAAAGCCTTTTTGTCCCCTACAAGAATCAGATGAAAGTGAAATTAACCCTACCTCTTCTGTTTTTTATTTCTGGTTTAATTTCCTTTGCACTAAATAATTAGGTAGAAACCTTGATTGCATAAATTTATAATAATTGCTACCGTTAAGAAAACTGACATCAAATAACCTCAGTGTGTTTGCTTCGTTTACTTAAATGGTTGAATTAAAAAACGTAGTTAATGTTTACTATCTACTATTTATTGAAGGTGATTTCCATTTTTTCCTTTAACTGAAAATGTATTTATTAAGTGTCTATTTGGTTTTATGTCAAAAAAAATTCTATTTATTTTAGCGGTAAAATAGAGTTGAACAGAATTTAAAAATTATACTTTGGTTAAAAAAAAAAGAGAATTATTTTTCTTATGATAGGTTGAAAGATAAATCATAAATGTAATTTAAGTATGACTTATAGTATTCACATAATACTAATCTTTATTTTTTTTGTTTACTTTCTATCTTTTTTGTGACATAATTTATGTAAATGAGTAACATTATTAAAATTTCTATTTGTATATTTTTTAACAAGTTTCATTAACCTTTACAACAAATTTCAGATATTTTTTCGTTAGTTTAAGTATTTTTAAAAAATGTAGTCTGGTTCCTCAATTTCCAAGTACTCAAATTAGCAAAATTATTTATCGTAATAAGTAGTAATCATTCAAGTCATTGAATTAAATGGTACAATTTTCGAATCGAATTATAATTATTTTACATAGGATTGTGTGTATTCACATTGCTGATAATGTTTCATTGTTTTAAATAACAAATAATTCGTATTGATAATACTTCAGAAAATACTAACAAAATTGAGGTACATAACTAAGCAACATTAGGAAAGAGCTTGGCCTCATTTATGGTTGGGCTTGCGCATGGGCCGTTTACGATATCTCATAGACAAGTTCCATCACAAGAAAACGAAACAATAGTGGCCTTTTAAGGATTCTTCGATTGAATGGACCCAGATTTTACACTTAGTTCTACAGTTTTGGAATAAAAGTTTTCTGACCCTAACATGCATGAACCCAAAATAACACAGAATGTTTCACCTAATACTAGTTGTACAACCAAACTACCACATAATTAATCCTCTGCGTTTTGGAAAAAAAAAAAGAAGATTAAACTGCACGGAAGCTAAAGCAATTAGAACTGTCTTTGTCAATATGTGGGGCAGTATCTTTCTGTACAATTGCTATTGGGGAGAGATACAAGAAATTATGAATAAAAGCCACCAACAATTTGCCCTCCCTAAAACTGTCCCATCTGAAAAATTAAGAATGTTTATGTTTTTTTTTTATCATAGGCTAATTAAGTTACATGCCCCCAGCAGTAACAACCGTGCAGGAAACAGGAGCACAACAAACAATTGCATGTGTTGGGATGCAACAACCCTTCTTAATCTTTTCAATGACTCTCTCCCTGAGGGAATGATGCCAAAGGAAGCTTGATTTTGAATTAGGTTCATCGATATCATGGAACCCCCTTTATCACTCTCTCTTCCACGTGGCAGCACCAGAGGCCACCACACCTCTCTCCTTTGCTCTCTCCTTCCCTTGCGAATCTGGTTTAGTTCTTGGCGAATCACCGTTCTCACACATTTCAAGTAGGAATTCATGTCGTGATCTCTCTGGATGGTTCCTCCAGATCCATAGGCAGATCGGTCACTTAATATTTCAAGTGGGTGTGGTGAGTTCAAGAACACCATTTGTGCTGCGTGGATCTGTTTTAATGTGTCACTAGATTCTGACAGGTGACCACTCAAAAGATATAAACCACTTCCTGAGGGCAGAAGATGATGACTTGGTGAAAAATTCTCATCTGGTTGTAGGATCAAGAGTTCACCCATTGGTGCATACAATAGCTTCTGCAATAAAAGATTCACCAAGAATTGAATGAGGCTAAAAATGCATAACAAATTGTAAATAATCTGTATTCATTCATCTAATCAGAAATTGTCTGTGTAGAAAAATTTGTATGTTGACAGTGGTGAAAAATTTTAAAAAGATGATACGATAAGAGAGTGGATTCTTATTGGAATTATAACTGTATATAACTTAAATTGATAAGCTTTTTAAAGTATACGCTAGATTATGTTGAATAGTGATAACCCAAATGGTCAGAAAGTGGAAGTTTACCTGGTTATTAAGGCATGGATGACTTCGGAAGTTACCATTGACAGCCTTTAGTAGTTTTGCAATATGGTTAGGGTACTTGCAAGAAAAGGCTCGTGGTACTATGTCTCTGTGCATTGTGATTGCTTGAACATGACTCCGCGGCAATCCTAGCTTGTCAAGAAGACTATCACCTCCACACATGATGGATGGGGCGCCAAATGTTATGACAGGAAGCAGAGAGGACAATGGTGCTTCCTTTCTTATTAACAGCATAAGGTTTACAAGTAATGCCAAGCTCCCCCCAAGAGAATGACCAGTGAAACGGAATGTTGCACGGGAATCATGACGTTTTAGGTGAGCACGAATTTCTGGCAACATCTGTTGGTATGTCCCTTTTGCAGCCTCATATATACCTCTATGTACATGCACATCTAACCCCTGAGAAAGATCAATCCCCAGTTCAGTAAGGGAGAACACTAAAAATTAAACTAAAGTTATTCATATCTCTACGCACAACACAACCCCTTTAATGAGAAAAACCTAACTTAATAGTTACCTCAAATTTAACTGGCTCAAATAGTAGGTTTGCTTGCCAGGATGCAAATGACTCGGAGCCCTGCATGTTAAAACAATGATTAATTGGTCAGATCACAGTATATATAAATCCAAATTTGACATACAAATGTTCACTGCTAAATGACATAACTAGTTATCCGTAATTCTAGTAGTAATGTTTTTATTATGTTAAATGTTCATGCATTACCATTTTTATTACAATACTCGTTTAAATGTGATTTATATGACGAAATAAAATCATGTCTTTGATTAATATACACACCTGGATCACAAAATATCTTGTAGCAGTCTCGTCATCGTCACATACGAACCATTCACAGGGTGAAGAGCTTGTTGAGCTCAAATCATCCGCAAAAGCTTGTTTTACATCTTCATTTGCAGCAACAACTGCTGTTACCGAATCAGTAGTTGCCTTCAGAGCTGCCTCCTCCGTGTTTGTCATCTTATCACCGTTAAAACTTCCATTGCTTGCTTCATGTGAACCTTCACCTTCCACAGCATTGGAAGATTTAAATGGAAGTATGCTCTTTGTTTGAGCATGGAGATAAGAGGCAGCAGAAGCAGCAATCTCGCATGCAGCAGATGCACTCATCATGTATCCACCGTTCTTTTCCTCTTTTGTTTCCCGCACGTTCTTCTCGCTAGTTTCTTCTTTCTGAATTGCAGCCGATGTTTGGTTTGTTTCTGCTGCCGCAGCTAATTTCTTTTTCTCAATGGATGAAGTTACAAAACGCAGACCATGTTTTTTGAAGAGGTTCCCTCGCTAAATTAACAAAGACATGATATAAATTAGTATCATAGATTGGTACTTCTTGGAAAACCAGATTCATAGTTTTGATTACAAAAATACAAATTAGTGCCTCATCCTCGTTAAACCTTTACGGGGTTTTGAAAGGTATATTTATCTATCTATCAGGACCTAACAATTACACATTTACAATATATTTACGAAATCTTCAGAGAATGAGATTCAAAGGTATCATGCAAAATTTTGATTCATTTACACCAAAGAAGGAAATGGAGGATTTAAAGTACTTTGATTTTGGGGATAGAGTATGCCAAATTGCCCAAATGAGATACGCGTGCATATAATCTAGCTTCGGGCAATGACACCCTCCGAAGCATTCTCGAAAACGAGTCTCTATCGAAGAGAACCTCTTCATTTTCTTCTTCCTCTTCGTCTTGGTCTTCATTATAAGCAGCCCTACAACCATCACATTCTTCCTGCTCCTCTTCTTCTTCATCCATTAGATCATTTGCAACAACTCTGTCGTTATCGTTATAACAGCTCCTCTGTTCCCCTCTCCAAACAGACCTTGCATGAAAAATCTTGGAAACCCAATTCCCGTGTTGTCCCTCTCCCTCTCCTTCTCCTTCTCCTTCTCCTTCCGTTTCATTCTCCGCCAAAACGGCTTCGTCGACGGCAAGACCATTGTAGCCGGCGGCATTCCCCGTAGGTTGTTGTGGCCATATAGACGTCAAAGGGTATCTAAAAGAGAATCTAGAAAACAAAGAGCGTCCCACCGCGCTAACCTGAGACTGCGACGCGTAATCATTGACACGTGCAGATGCAGCAATGGGAATGGTCAACGGAGCTATCCCACAAATGCTACTCTGTAAGCACAGAGCATCCATTATTGTTGTTATTTTACGTTATGATCACAGTGTTTTGAATTGTTTGTGTTGGTTTGCAGAGAAAGAAGAAAAGAGAATGAGAGGTGGAACCCAAAGATTCTTCAGGTTCCTTGGATCTGTGTTGAACAGAATGAAATGAAGGAAGAGAAAGTAAGCGTTGGAACCAAACGGATCGCCAAAAATAGGAACTTCTTTTTGCTAATAGGAGGGAAGCCAGATTGGTTCCCGCTTCGATTTTTGCAAGGAAAAAGGACCTTATGATTGGCTTTTATACTCACGTGGGTGTCGTGGCACCGGTGTCGTCCTAGGTAAATGCCACGTCCCATAAAGTGTCGATGAACAACATGAATACAATCACTGACGTGTCCCATGTTCTGTGTTTTTCTTCAGTTTCTTTCTCAAACCTGTTCCTATCTTCTTGGGGAGATGCAATCTCCACGCACGCGGGTTATCTTATATTTGCTCTTACATGGATTATCATTTTATACGTTACATCAATTATCTAAAATAATTATAATATTACTTTTAAAGCAAATATTATTATTACATTTTAACAATTAAGTCATCAAATAGGTGTACCTTAAAAAAATGATATCAAAATATGACTTTTCTTATATATAGGTGTGTAACGTCTATCACATGCAATTACTTATCCAAAAATTATTTTCTATGAAGAGCATTTATATGAATTTTTTATCCTCTTTTGTCTTTGGTTTCAAATTAAATTTTGATACTTAATCTTATATCATAATATAATTGGTTTATCATAAAACTACATTTATATTTCAAAAATAGTTATTTATTATAAAGTTTAATTATAATCATTTGTATGCCTTAAAGTTTTTTTATTATTTTAGTTATATAAAATACATATTTGTTCTGCGTATTGTACAGGTTAAACGATACTATTACGTAAATTATAATCCTCTTCTTTAATGAAAACATTTTAAGAATTATTTTAAAAAGGACAAAATACTTAAAGAAAATTTACGCATCTTATCTTATCTTATCTGTTAAACACTTATTTATTTTTTTAAATTACACTTTTTCAAACATTATTATTAATATTACCTTCAAGGATAATTTGATTTAACAATTAGTTAACAAAATAGCATATAAAAAAATTATTTGCAACACCCTTAAATTTCTTCTATGAATATATATATATATATATATATATATATATATATATATATATATATATATATATATATATAGAGAGAGAGAGAGAGAGAGAGAGAGAGAGATTATTAAAAATCAATTTTCAAAAATTAGACTTAAATAGTTTGTGTGATGTATAAATAGTAAACAATTGATTCCAACTTAAAATATTTAACAAATTTAGTGCCATAAGTAAGTAATTATTTTAATATTTTATAGTTTATAGTGTATTTGATAAAGTTAATAACATTTTAAATTATAAATAGCTTGTTATAATTTAAATTTTGTTTCAAAAATAAAATTTCTTTTAAGAATGGAATAAATAGATTTTTTTGTATTTATTTAATATTATTATCATGATATTTTAACTAGTTTAAAATGAGGAAACTTTGTATTCAATAATTTTATTGTGTTAGTAATATCTAATACCTTTTGTTTAAGTATTCTTTAATTTTTCATTCTCTTTTATCTTTTCCAACTCTTTTTCTCATTAAATTTTGCATTTTCACACTTATTTGAATCTTCATTCTTTTCATATTCTCCTTTAAAAATAGTTTTAAATATCTTTGAAATAAGACTCTATCTTTACTTCTTCTTTTTTTATTTTTTTTCCTTTTGATTTTTAAATAATACATAAACAATTTTCCACTTTTATAACTTTCCATACATTCGGTCTCACTGATTTCATTCTTATAACCCACATATAATAACTTTCACCATAAAAAGAATGAAATAACGATTTGTAAGAATTTTTTTTCACCTTATGGACAGTTTAATCTAATTTAGATCTACAAACCAAATAAAAAAAAATAATTTAGAAACCTCTATTATGAGATGTTCAATATTTTTTTCCTTTTTAAATGTGAATTTTTAAAATTCCAATACAATCGTCAAAATTGTTAGCCGTATTATAAACATCAATTGACAAATAAGTCCCAGTTCGTTTTAAAGTTTGGAGAGCCTGCCTTGAGTGTGAGACATTATAGATACTTATTATGATGCACTCGTTTATTAGAAAAAGAGAAAACATAATACATTCATATGAAATACTTTTATAAGTTATCCTGAGCTACTTAGAATAAACTGAAAAAAGAAGAAGAAGTTCAAGTTATAATAGATCAACTATGTCAAAAACCTTGATATAGTTGGCCTCCATTTTCGCTATAAAAGAATGGCTAGAGTAGTTACATGTTTTTACCTCGATCATTGATTTAAATCAATCATTAAAATATTTGTTAATGTGCATAACAATGTTATGAAGCCTTGACGAGCAAACAAAGTCAAAATGAGTGTCGCACTAACACGTAAACACGAGTCCCGTGGCCATCTCAGTGAAATGCTTGCAACAACAATCGAATGAGCTTATCAACCGGTTGAAATGAAAGTTTAATAAACGTTGAGGACTGAGGGCAAGTACAAAAGTATCGCACAATGGTTATTGTCCATCTGCATTCTAATCTAGTTCCGCAGCTACAAAATGTATCAAGTTCAGTAAGACGAAAGTTCTACAGCAATCTAATCTAGTTAACAATATGAACGATTTCAGCACGGTACAAAACAATGGAAGCATTTTCTTTTAAGCTAATGTTATGCCTTGTATCAAATTAATAGCACCGCCAATTGAATTCACCGGACGGCAAGGATTACAGGATGCGCATCATTACGAAGGGGAAAAGGAATCTATTTGACAACTAACAAAAAAAGGGCATGGAGAGGAAGCCCGAGGTATGCGTTTACTATAACCACCTAACCATGTCACATTCAGGACATAATGCACGAAATAACACGTATCTTGTTGGTACTCTAACCAAGAATCGCTTTTATCTTTGTTTTTTGCTCCTCCGTTAGTGACGAGGGGAATAGAACCTCAAAAGTGACGTAAAGATCTCCTTTTTTGTTGCTCATATGCAATGGCATACCCTCCCCTTTGAACTTCCTCACCTGTTTTGGCTTTGTGATTTCCTGAGTCAAAATAAGTCTGTCATTGTATTCCTCTCTCACACTAACACCAATTGAGATTTTAAGCAACGACATTTCCAACTTACCTTTGTGCTTATGTTCACCAGATGCTCATCTAGGTGTTTAATAGTCTTCTCAAAACCAACAAGGGCTTGAACCTGAAAAAGATTTAATAATATAATGTCAGGTATTTTAAGGATGGCCCTATCAGAGAGAGCAGTTACCGGTTCACAAAATCAACAAATGTCTTTATTTCAAATCAACAATGCTAACTAATCGGACAACAGTAACTACTTTCAACTCAATGGCACCGTACAACTCAAGCAATTGATATGCATATCACGAAAGGGCAGTACTTACAAGAGTTATAGTGACAGTAGAGTGCAAGTCATTGCCTTCCCTTCTGAAGAGATCATGTGGTGCAGTACGGATACGAAACTGTTCAACCATATGAATTGTCAACACACTGTATACACAACATAAATACCGAAGTTGACAACTTACTAACCCTTAAATCTCCAGATTCTCCGTCAATTATGGGTTCACCATCCTCATAAAATAGCACCTCCTGTGAAAGGACAATAACTTATAAATCTATAGGTCTTCAATTGTCAAACTTTTTAACTTTGAAAAAAAAAAAAAAAACTCAGCAAGTATCCATCGATCAGAAATTATAGGCATCATTTAATTGCAACATAACACTTGTAGAGTAGAGAGAAATGGAAGAGAGTTTATTGCTAGCATTCCTTTAATTGACAAACAGCTTTTGCCTTTCACTCCTTGGAGCTTGGTAAACGGAAAATCCTTGTTTAAAATTTGTTACTTGTTATCAGCTCAAGAAGGCACACCCTTAAAATTGAAACTCGGCCTTTTCACGTTTGGAATTTAACACTTTTTTGTTCTCATTTTTTATTACAGTTTTCTCTCATGCATGAGAACGTCAATTGGTTTAAGTAGCTAAATCCATGTGGTGGAAAAAGGTTGTGGCTGTTGGAGTCGTATATCTAAACATTCACTTTCTTCAACTTTCATTGTAGCACTGAGTTCCACGGCATAAATTGCACTTAAAAATAGAAAAGAAAAAAATGTACCCACTACAGTGTGAAAACAAAAAAAAAACGGTTCTTCTCTCAAACATATTTTCTCTTTCGACTTCATAATACCGTTGTTTGTAATTTACTAAACAAAAACTGTTTTTTTTTTTATTGTATCCAAACAAAATTAGTTATGTTGAAATCATTTTTTGGCAAGCTTACTCAAGCAAAAAGTAATTCTATTTATAATCGATTATAGCAATAATTATTCCTTAAAATAAATTAATTTTCACAATTATCCGAAACACACTGCAATCTACAAATAGGGCTAATTTGTAACGATTACAAGAACATATCTTCAGTTCAAGTGAAACAAAACAGAACTTAAAAAAAACTTCAGTATGTAATTTAGACTAGAATGTTGAACTGTAAAAAGGTTCCAATTCTAAAACAACTAAAATTGGTCTTATTAAACCCCTTTGTCTTTATATAGTACACATGATTAGATACTTTATAGTTCATAGTAGAGAGATTTTGATGAAAATAGATAACAATATTTCATATGCATACTTAAAGTCTGTGTACAAACTTAAAAGATTACCTGCCCATCTTGCATGCCTTTCTCAATATCAACAGTGACGAAATAACCCTCCCTTACGTATTTGACATTAGGACATTGCTCACAAACCTGGACAGGTAAAAACAGAAATATGGGTGAAAATTTTCCACAAATGGCAACAACAGGATTAAGATAAACCTCCACAATCCCATCCCCAAGCACATGAACAACAAGTAGACATTTCACAATCACACCAGTAAATGTCATGAAACATGAAATCAGTCCCTTTGCGGTATAGGCAACTTTATAAAATAACAAGGAGTAAGGAAAAATATGTTTCCTAACAACATTCTCAGATATGCTCTTTACCTGCTCTGTCATCTGTTGAAACATCCCAGGTCCAATTTGCTTGTGATAAACCTCATTTCTACAGTTACAGCGTCTTTTCCCAGGTGCTGACTTGAGTACATTCTTTTCCCTCCAAACCTGAAAATTGAAATGTAATGGCCATAAGAAAAGAATAATAACCAAATTGAAATTCTATGTTTCAAGTTATTAATGCATGATTAAGTCACTAAGTAACGGATCAATTTTCTCCATTAAATAATATCCATTGTGACAGTTTAAAACTATGCCTAACAAGTGGTTAAAATGCTTCACAATGAATAAATTTAACTAGAAAAGACAGGCTATAAGTATCTAAGATGAATTGGAGAAAGAAATTAAGAAAAATCCACGGGAATATCAGATGCCATGTGCATGTGGAATATTACATGACAATGACCAATAGATGCATGAGGCTGAGCTTGATGTAAGTTCCGCCTCTCAACTATTAGTTGCTTCTAACATAATTTCTAATTTTCTACTGGCCGATGTAGCAAAATAAAAGTGTGCTTTGTGAATACCATGTTTCACATGAAAACCAATTAGAAAATCTTGAACCTCTTCCATGTCCGTTTGTAATCTTAGAATACAAAATGTAGTGGAAATTCAACAACGGAATGCGGCACACAAACACATCAGATATATAGAATCAATGTGTGTACTCAGAGTCAGAACAGTGACTAGATACCTTCAAGGTACCCCCCATGTACAAATCTTCAAGTGTTGCATCCAATTCAACAACCACATCATCTCCTTTTACAATTTTCTCTTCTTCCTCCATTGATCCGCCACCAAAGAAACTAAAACAAACAATTATGTTTCACCGGGTCATTCTTAAATCAAAACTCAGGGCTCCATGCTATAAAACTAAACACAAAAGTATAGCAGAATAAACACAAATTCATGGTTCTAAGTTGTTCTCCGCAACCGCAAATTGCTGCAATATTAACGCAATGTAATTTTTGTTTACAGAAATGGCCGCAACATAGTCACAATTGAGTCACAGCAAATCCTTAGCAATCTTCAATTTCACTTGTTTATCAAAATAGTGACAATGATCTAGACTTCAAACATTTATTTAAACTTTTAAGAGTTAATGATTCAATGGGTGAGGTCATGCAGAATGTTGACAGAATACAGAAGACACTTCATCATAGAACACGGAAAAAAACAATATAGTGAAGCATAATTGTAAAAGAATATACCAGTACTTAAGAATAATTGTCAAATTTTTACTTTTACATTTTGATGCAAATATATAATAATTTCACTTAGTAAATGCCACAATGCTTAAGACCATGATCACATCCATAACGCTGCAGTCTGCATATTCACCGCAATGTAATCTTATGCCTCTAATCAATGCCTAGATTGTGAATTACAACATAGATCAATAAAAGATTCTGACTATACTATTGTAGTAAGTTAGTACATAGAAAACCTGTAAATATCCTTAGCTGCCTCTGTTGGCCAATTCATGTATTATGTACTACACATACTAATTCATGTACAATGATGTCAAATGAAGAAACTGTGATTATTACCAGGAAAAATCTATCTGGATTGCGATAGGTTATGAAATAATCCAACAAAAGCTATAGATAATGACTTACGTGCTAAAAATATCTTGGAAGTTCATTCCACCACCTCCACCTCCACCAGCAGCATGCTGCTTCAAACCCTCCTCACCATACCTGTCATAAATTCCCCTCTTCTGGCTATCCGACAAAACTTCATAAGCTGATAGTAACAAACAAAAGCAGATCAACAACCCTTTTAAAAACTCAACACAGATAACAATAACAGACCAGATCATGAAAACCGAATCAACTAAATCAACCAAAGATATAAATATACCATTGCTAATCTCAGCAAATTTCCTATTAGCCTCTTCATTGCCCGGATTCTTATCGGGATGAAACTTCAAGGCTAGCTTCCTATACGCCCTCTTTATCTGATCGTCAGATGCACCCTTCGACACTTGAAGAATATCGTAATAGCTCTTCCTGCAAACAAAAAAATACATATATAAGCAAAGTGCAATGCAGAACAAAATAAGTGTGAATTGTTATTTAAAGAAGATAAAGATATATATATATATATATATATATATATATATATATATATATATATATATATATATATATATATAATAGATAGATAGATAGATAGAGAGAGAGAGAGAGGGGGTTACCCAGCAATGGCACTTAGGGAATAGCAGAGAGCGCATAGAAGGAACAACAGTTTGGCTCTTCGATGCGCCATGAAGAGATTTGGATCTCTCCGAAAGGAAATTTTAATTGTAGGGCTCTGCTATGGAGCCTGAGATCTGGTTGAAAATGGAATCAAAATTGGGATTAGGGTTTGGGAATGAGCGTGTTTAAGGATTATGGTGTTTGCAATGTCTGGATTCTTTATGTGGGTAGTGCTTCTATCATGCAGTGGCGGACATGAAAGTGATTCCGCCAAGACTTGACTACGAGTATGGAGTCGAAGATACGCCTTGGCTTTGCAACGTGTTCCTTTCCAAACTGACCAATCACGGTGAGCCTTTGCTTGTTCCAACCAATCATACATCTACACGTCAGTTTTGACACTCACGCCTTTCATTGTTTCATTTCGTTCTTACCGTCGTGGAAACTCCGCTCCATAGATTGTAAATTCACAAAATTGTTATTCGCTATTTTGGGCCGTTTTAGTTTTGTGTGTTTAAGTCCAATACATGAATGGGCCCCAACTGATTAATCCATGACACACCTATTGCATCCACAATAAAACTTTTATTTTAAATCGTCAGGAAATATTTTATGATGATTTTGTCTTTATATTGTGTTGGTTATATTATTTTGTATGAGATGTGATTTATTTTTCTCATTTATTTTCTTTATTTTATATTTGTTCGTCTAATGTTGTCTTATTTTTTAAATATATATTAATTTATTTTTTAGAGTTTCATGAATCCACCTGTATTGAGTTTAGCTAAATTTATCATCTAATCCAATTAAAATTGTGTAAATTAGTTTGAATTAGATTAATTTGGATTGGTCATTTAAATTTATTTAATATTTTTAAAATAAAATTGAAGTGAGGAAAATAATAATCATTTTTTAAAATTGATAATTTTTTGATAATATGATTATGGAAATATTATTTTTTTATTTATTTAGAAAACAAAACTTTACTTTTAGTTTTGTCACCCACTCTCATTTCATGATTTCATGTTTATTATCACTAGACGGAGAACAATAAATTTTTAAATATTGGTAATCATAGTGATTAATTAATGTAACAAAAGTTTTTAAAAAAATGTTCAATAATGAACAATATTGTTCTCATATAAGATTGGAGCTCTTTTGTTAAGTAAGTTGGTTGAAAAGTATTGCATTTACTTTTTTTTTTGTTCTAAACTGATTTTAAATGTTTCAAATTGTTTCTTGCATTATTTTTTAACCCTATTTATTGTTTTTGAAGTATTTTTTACATTGTCTTTTGAGTATATATATAAAGCATACGTTGTAAAGTTTAATAATATAATTTTTTTTATCTTAAATCTAATATGCATTTTAACACTGTTGTACGCAGCATACTTTAGAAATTATATGTTTTTTGCATTGTCATTTCGTATGCATACATATAACTTTCTTATTTTGCAAATTACAATTAAAAACATTGATATTTTTTGTCTCAATTTATTTATGTCTAGCACACTATTTTTGTTTGCATATAGCTTACTATCAAAGGAGATATTGGAACATCAAAGATGATTTTCTTTCTCACATCTTGAGATACATTGATTTCTATAAGTAAAAAACAAAATAAAAGTTAAGCTTTTGTGTTAACATATTCAAAAACTTAAAACAGTGTATCTTAAATAATGTTTTTAACAACCCATCATAATTATTGATGATGGAAATAAATGTGATGGTTAAAAAATAAATAACTCTTTAATTACTTTCAGCATGTATAATTTATATATCCATCTAATTTACTTTAAACACTCTTCAAAATTTTAAAATGATACTTTATTGCTTATTTTAAATATAATTAATTATAAATAAAAACTCAACCCTAGAAATAATAACAATAATTTGTGATATACAAATGTGGGAGACATAAAATAATTGGAAACAAGTAAACAGAAAAAGACTTGACGGAATAATTAATAATATATATAAAATTAGAAACTGATGAAGTAGAATTTAAATTTGGAAGAGAGGAAGTGTAGAATGGAGGGAGCAAATTCAGAAGTTAGTACCACAATAAATTAAAAAGTAAATGAAGGAGGCTGGGGCCTATAAGGAAAGCATGGACACATAAATGAGGGAGATGAAATGCTCCATCACTCTCGAGGCTAATGTCCCTCGAAGCTGGGAAAGCCACGACTCTGTTATTCAGACACACTCAACGTGGTTTCTCTTCTACCACTGATATATCTCCATTCACAGCCCCACTTTCATGAAGCAAATGTATTCTATATTTAAAATGTTCAACTTTGTTTTTTAAAAAATAGATGAAAATAAAATGAAAAATACTGCAAAGAATCATTAAAGTTATGATTTTTACTGAATCTAAAGATACGTAGTCAAATTTTATACTTTTTGTAAACTATAAAATCTGAATATATATATATATATATATATATATATATATATATATATATATATATATATATATACTCCATAAATATCAAGTTGAAATCAAATATATCAGCTAATAATTTTATTTTATTTATTTATTGACTTTGTCTTTTCCTCTGGGCTCATCTCTCTCCCTGCCTACTACCCTACCCTTTATTAATAACTTGTGCTGCTAACTGCAGCATTTGCTCTTATGACAGCTCCAGCACAATATTAAGGTGGCTGGATCACATAACAGTTCATATACAGTGAAAGAGGTAGCTTCTTTGAAAAGAGGTTACTTTAGTTTGTAGGTGCAGCATTATTGCACCATCATATTTGTAAAGTGGTAAAGTTGCTGACCTCGGATATATGGGAAGGGCTCCTTGTTGTGAGAAAGTGGGATTGAAGAAGGGGAGGTGGACAACCCAGGAGGATGAAATTTTGACCAAGTACATTCAGGCCAATGGAGAAGGTTCTTGGAGGTCGTTGCCAAAAAATGCAGGTACCATGTAATTAATACATCACTATTGCTATGTGCATATTTTTCTTAGCTTTTTCTTGAATGTGACCTTCAAGCTATAAATTTTGCTGTACAAGGGTTTAATTTGAGTCATGGTTTGATTGGCTTTCTCTCTCACTGACATTTACGCTTTTGCCTTGTGAAGGATTGTTAAGATGTGGGAAGAGTTGCAGGTTAAGGTGGATTAACTATTTGAGAGCTGATCTAAAGAGAGGGAACATTTCTGTTGAGGAAGAAAACACCATTGTGAAGTTGCATGCTTCCTTGGGCAACAGGTTGGTGCTCAGAATATTCTTGCTCTTTGTTTAGATTCTTTCAGAATTTTAAACTAAATAAAAACACAAGTTATTCAATTTGCATCATTTGAATTTCTCAAGGTTGGAAGAAATAAAGATCAGAATGAAACATAAATCAAGTATCAGCTTTCATAAAATGACAACTCATAAAAGTTTTTTTTTTTTTCTTAAACATTGTAACCATAATTTTTGTTCATTAATCTAGTCATTAAATACACAATGTAGCTTTAAGCCTTAAGTGCCTCAAACTAATGCATGTCAGTTTTATTAAATGAAAATTTTATGAATATCCCTCCTATATTTTTCTTTTTCTTTTCAATGAAAAATTTTGTTTTTATTTGCGTAATTCAGACCAACTTTGTTAAAAACAAAGTTACTCAATTAACCAATTAGTGTCTTGTTTAATTTATAATATATATATATATATATATATATATATATATATATATATATATAATTAATGTGCTGTTTACATGAAAAAGAGAAAAGAGAGAAAGTGACTGTGATAACAATACTTGTATAAGTTGGTTTTATTTTGTTTGACTGGTCAAACTTTATGCAAACACAATTTTACTAAACTCATTCATGTTTGGTTTAAATGAAAAGAGATAACAATTCATGTAAACTTGTTTAAAGAATTCTATCATTTCTTTTTCGCTACTTTTTTCTGTTAAAAAGTTCACCTTTTTTTTCCACCTCAAAGTAAAAAGTAAGACGCAACTCGACTACGCATGCATCTCGTGCACTGAATATTAAATATATATAATTATTATCCAAGTATTTTATTTGGTTTATGAAAAAATAAATAGAGAAAAGTTGACTGTATATACAATAATATAAGTATTTTAAATGAAAATTGACAAAAAAACTCCAAGAAACAGAAAATTGACCCATGTCTTTTTATATCTTTCTTTAGTGCGTTTATTGGAAACAAACAGGAAGTGAATTATTTTATAATATTTATAAAGCGTTTATATATTTTTTTTAAGTATCCTTTCTCTTTTATACAAATTTTTTCTATATTTCAATATTTTATTTTCACTTTTCACTAACCATTTAATCCACTATCTCTCATCCTAAAAATGACTACAATTTTATTTTTAAAAAAATAACTTTTCCCTTTTTTAAGTACTATTATTTATTTTATTTATAAGTTATCCCCAAATAAATATTGATTTATAGCATGTTGAATGTTGACACTGTATGAAAATAGTTTTAATTATGGATGGATGTATTATTCTAAAAATAACGATAAAGAAAATAAAAGTATTTTATGAGATTGATCCATTTGTCATATTTTTCATTAGAACTTTCTAGTAGTGAGATTGATGCATTTGTCTTATGATAATAATTAACAAAACCAAAATTTGAACAAATATTAATTCTAATATTTTTTTTTTCATAAGTGTACGAAATAATAACATTCTCTGTAACTAGTTAGTTAGAATTTATTAAAAGATACAAAATTATAAAAAATTAGGATAACTGAATCTTACTAGCTAGTTTAATTTCTTTGTATTACAACTTGTTTGATTCTTTTATTGTTTTTGATCAAAAGTAGTGGTTGTAATGAACTGGTAAACTTCAGGTGGTCGTTGATTGCAAGCCACTTGCCTGGACGAACAGACAATGAGATTAAAAATTATTGGAACTCTCACCTGAGTAGGAAAATTTACACATTCCAAGGCACAACTACTGCTAAACCAGACATCATTACTCTCACCCTACCTCCTAAGAGGAAACGTGGTAGGACCAGTCGCTGGGCCATGAAGAAGAACATAACCTACTGTGCCCCAAAACAAAACCAACCACCGATACCGGCAGTTCCTCTACCATCAACGCCCCCACTTGAGACCGAAAAACATTCTTCCACCCATGAGAATACTACTACAACTATTCAAGAAGAAGAAAAAGTAGGTACTAATACCATGTGCCTTGAGGGTGAGAATAAAACAATAAACAATGAGGATGATGACATATGGGGACCCTATGATGAGGAAGTTATTAATGGCGGGGAGGGAGATCAGGTGTTGAATTTTGAATCTTACAATGACATAATGGGAAATTGCTGCCCCCATGCAAGTGGGGTTTGGACCATTTCTGGCGAAGGTTGCAGAGAGAGCAGTGAAGCGGTTGGGAATAAAACAAGTGACCACACAATGATGTCGAGTGGTCGGGACTTACAGTGTTCTTGTTCTGCCAAGGCTTCTTCTTCCTCTGACTTATGGGAAAGCGTGGTGCAGTTTGATCATAAGGATGAGTCTGCATGGGAGCACCAGCAGAGCCTCCTCACTTGGCTTTGCGAAGATGAAGACTGGGAGAAGGACTTCCAGAGCGTTGGTGAGATTGATCCTCAGAAACAAAATGACATGGTTGATTGGTTTCTCTCTTGAGAGCAAGCTGTAAGAATCACTTTAGTTTTGGACTTCAAGGAGCATATATGTTTCTTGCCCTTTTTCTTTCCCTTGCTTTTTGGGACGTGAACACTCTGAACATTGAAGGAGTTATTTTGCCTTAGCTTAGAATGTGAATATAGAGTACTCCCAGTGTACAAATGTGTTCTATGTCCATGGATCTTGATTTTTGCATAAATAGTTGTGGTTATTAATCAAATGTAAAAAATGGCAGGGATAAATAGCAAAGTAATAATAAGATTAATGGTGTCTTGGTTCTTACAGAAAGACATTTTTTATTATATAGCAATTAACAGCTTTTCTATTGGAATCTCAAAATTTAGGAATGTCTATCACAAAGGATTCGAACACCTCGGGTAGAACAAAAATGAGTATTTTTTTATTGAGAATTTTCTTGGAAGATATATTTTTTATATGATGTTAAAATTCTGAAATATTTACGGTTCAAGATCACTAATTTTCACTGAAAAACTTTGCCATAACTAACTTTCACTAATGTACGAATAGATCATTTTATTTGCTACATTTTTTAATCTAAAATCTAATAACAAATTATAGTTTTTTTTTATTGATAAACAGCAATATCTCAGTATTACCTTAAAGTTCAATAGCTTTACTTTAAACCATGTATAAAATTTACTTGAAAATGATTTCAGTTTTACCCTAATTAATTATTTTCAGTAATATCTCACACACATATATAATCCACGGATTAACAGCAAATAATTATTTTTTTAGCAGACCTGGAGATTGAACTTTAGTAGGCTTTTTCATTAAAATAGGTTTAAAATGTTAGCTTTTTCACGGTTAAAATTGTTAACAATTGACGGATATATGTTAGGTTTTTAAAAAATTACGCAGAGAAGTTAAATCGTATTACATTGCACGATTTTAAAATGAAAAAAATCGTGCAACTTAGGATAGTTATAGTGACTTTAGTTATAATTTTAAAATAAATACAATAACACAATTTGAATTTAAAAATAAATTTATTAATATATTTTTTTTCTCCATTTTTATTATCTATACTCATATAAATAATAATTGATATAAATAAAATAAATAATTAATAAAATATTTTATAACATAAATATATATAATAGAAAATAAATAAATTATTAATTTTTTAAATAACATATTTATCTAACTATATTAATTTAATTATATAAAAAAAACAGTATTACAACTTTAATTATAAAAAAAATACATTAAATTGAATTCATTATAATAATAATATGATTTTAATTCTATTATTCTAAAATCTTTAAAAAATGTTAACTCATTTGATGAAAAAGCAACTTTAATATTATATCTATTGGCTACGAAAACCAGTTCAAAGGAATTTATTATAAAAGGTCAACTTAAATTTGAATTTTTAAATATAATGTTTTGTACATTCACCTATGTAAAATAAAGTATAAAATTTTAAATAAAATATTTTTTTTATGGTGTATAGCTATTAACTAGGTATGAGTTTTTAAAATTTGTAAATTTTGAGTTTAATCAAGATCTTTAGAAAGAAAAAAAAAAGGATTTTTATCACTTATAATTGTCCTATACTTAATTCCAATAGGATTTTTTTGGTAAAACATTCAAAGTTCATAACTTTATCTACTATGTCCTGTTATACAATAATAATGATGAATTAACTTCCCAAATCATTCACACCAAACAAAATTACTAAACGTTGTTAGATAAACAAAAATTGGTCTAAAGTAAGAGGGAACAATGGAGACATTAAACCAATACACCGACACTGCTCCCCTGGCCATCCTTTTCCGTTTGCATCTTTCTCCTCTATAAACTTGTTCCTCACAACATTTTTTTCTCAGAGATTTCAACTTCAAGTCTCTGCCGGAGGGGTGAGAATATCACCGACAACTCCTTCCTCGATAGTCCTCGTTGCGTCAATTCATGGAAAAGCAAGGTCACGAATGTACCATCATCAACATCCCGGACATACAAACGGCGCCTCTTCAAAATGACCAACCAAAACCCCTCAAGGTCAAGAAGATGAGCGGTGCCATGCGCTTTCTCAGGGTGGCCCTCTTCGTCATGCGAGGAAGTTCCGCAAAGTCAAAGGCGATTTACCATGATCAAATCCACGATGGGTCCAAGAGCACGTGGAAGAACCTTATGGGCTCCATGAGGCCATTGCAACTTCAAAGCGACCAATCCCCACGCTGCGTTTCTGACTCGGCCGCCATTTTTTGGTCGCCCGCCACAGATTGCTGCGGCTACGTTTCTGAATTTGCGGCGCAGGAGGGGCCTTACTCACCTTCCCCACCCAGTAGCCGTTACGGTTCGGCTGTGGGGTTGAACGAGCTGGTTCAAAGTAGCGATGGGGATGAGACGATTGATACCAAGGCTGAGGATTTCATTTCTCAGTTCTACGAAGAAATGAGGCTGCAGCGCATGAATACCGTTGATCGTGGTTACTTGGAGCGAAGTCAAAGGTCACTGGGTTGGTGATGATGTGTGTTGATTGTTAACTGATATGCAATATGAACATGGGAGGAATATGAAGATGGCATGGGCTAAAAGGTGAATGAAGTGTCCTATATGTTTCTTTCTTTCATGGGTTGTTTAAATGAAACTAACTTAACTTTTATGGGAAGGGATATATGTATTCTTTTTCATTATTTATATTATATATATATATATATATATATATATATATATATATATTAGTTTTTTAAAATGTCGTTTAATTCTTACTATGCAAGTTATAAATATCTATCTATATTTTTTTACCTATCTAAGTATAAAAGACTTAATTTTTTGTTAACTATTAGATTAAATTTGAAACATTATAATAACTTCCAAATATATGTTTGAGAGAATAATTTATATATAATAGGATAAATAAGGTAGATTTAAATTAATTTTATAAAATTTTCGATGTATGTAAAATAGACTTTAATTTCTCTTAACTTCTCAAAATCTATACTTACATATTTTTCAAGATGAAAATGAATCTAAGTACACAACTTTCAATGAAACTTATGATTTCAGCTTAATTATTAAAAATATTTAATTTGTATTTTTTTAATTTTGATATAATTAAAAGGATTAAATTATTAAAAAAATATTTTTAGTTGAAGTGACACTTTGTAAACAAGTTTACTGGATTGGACAAATAAATTTTAATTTATAAAAAAATATATTAGAAAGTATTGATCATAAACTACTTATCATGAACATAGAAAAAATGAGTGTATTTGTAATCTTTTAAGGTATTATATATTATTGGTACTTAAGGTTTGAAAAAAATCATAATTAAAGGGATTTAAAAATTTTTAAAAATGGTGTTTAATTACAAATATATTTATTCATCTTATTTAATTTGAATATAATTATATTTGTTATAATAGATAACTTGAAGGTTTGAGTATCTCAACTCGGATATGGAATATATCAAGCTGCTACACATAATGTTAAACAAATTATTATGTTACCAAATATTTGAAAAAAAAAACAAATTATCTCTGTACAATTTTTTCAAAATCTAATTTTATTGTATTTTAAAGTAGAAGTAGACAAAAGAATTTCACATTATAGTTATTTTCACAATTAAAATGAAGCCTTTTAACTATGTATATAATAATATTTGATTTTAAAATATGAATAAAGGATATTTAATAAATAAATGTAACTATTAAATTAAGTGGTATTAATGTATTTAATTAACATAAAAATAGTTAATTTTATTTATAATAGAGGAGTATGCTCAGTGTCTTATCCAATTAGTTTTAATGGACCGCTAGGGTCTGTGTAAGGTCCAGTCCCCTCAATGGTCATCCGTAAAATAATTGGACTGAATTAGCCCACAAAAGCATGGGTCTCAGATTGAATTCATTTTCATATTCAGGAAGTGCAGTGTGGTAAATTAAATTTATTTGTGTTCTGGTTAGAGCTTTCTAGAATAATAATAAAAATAACAATATTACAGAGTTTATTACTCTCTTTCTCTCTCTCTCTTTTCTAGTTTATTGGTATGTTTATAGTTGTTACCTTTTATATCTTCATTCATAAATGTATTTTAATGCTTTTTGTGTAACATTGATATATAAGTTTTTATTTCACACATCCACATTTGTAAATGTGGACCTAACTTCTATAAATTGAATTTTAAAATACTTTCATGTTATAACCCAATACTTTCTCTAAAAATTGAATTTTTTTTTTCCTATCGTGGTTCATTATATCAGTATTAATTTTTGATACAAAAGTATATGAAGTTTGTTTAACTTTTTATGATGTTTTGTGTTCTTGTTGTAAATAAATCACATTAAATCAACAAAAACTATCCATTTGAAGAGTATCAGTCACATAAATGCTTGAAAATCTCCTATATTCGATTTCATTCTTTTAACTCCTGTTCATTGAGTTGTTATGATTTTTAATGTATTGTATTATTTTTATTTTATTGTTGCTTATGAGATTTTGTTTACATGTATTTTAATATGTGAAATATATTTTATATATGTATTTTATTTATATATAAAATAAATATATAACAAAATATTAAATATTAATAATATCTTAAACATATTATCTAAATTAAAATAATAATTTAATATATTTTTTTAAAATAATAAAATACATTAATATCTAATTTAAATAAAAGATAATAAAGTAAAATTTTCAAAATTTATATTAAGACAAATGTTATTTATAATTTTTTTATAAAATTGTATAATAATATACTAAATTGAAGAAAAATTTAAAAAATTTATAATTAGTTTAATTAGGAAAGGAAAATAAATTTTGTTATAAAAATAATTAAACATCATTAAATATTAAATATCTAAAATTATACTTAGTTAAAATAGTAGAAACACTATAATAAGGAAAATGAGAACCCAAAGTCTCATAAAAAATAAAATAAAAATTACATCACATAAATGACTTCACTGTTTAAAGAGGTTCTTCCATCCCTACATCAAGTGAGAAACTCTCGAATAAAACTTATTATGCGAATTGAATTAAACTAATAAAAAAAACTAAGGAGATAATTTTTTAAGATAATAATAATTATTATTATAAAGATTAAATTTTTTATTATACATTATAATTTATAATTTAATAATATTATAAAATAGTTTTACACAGATAGTTCATATATATTTATTTATTATGCAAAACAAAACTATTGTGATAATAAAATAGAAGAAACATGAGTCAAATTTAGATAAAATTATACATGAATAATAAATTTAAACCTAGTCTCTCTTTAATTAAGGAGAAAAACACATTTTAAATTAACAATAAGATAAAAAATGATATAAAAGAAAGAAGTATTATTTTTAGTAAAACAAATAAATAGATTGTATTTAATATTTGTTTAACAAAAAAATTAATATAACCAAAACAATTAATAGGTTAGTATTTATGTGAAATTTATATTTTTATGCTGTATAAAGATGTGTGATAGTTACATAATAAAGATAGGTGTTTACTATCTTCATTCTTATTTTACTCAAAAGTTATCTGTTGACCTTCTCCTTAATTCTATTTTCCCCTTTCTCTCTTTCAATTTCAATCAAATAACACAATTATCAATGCTTCTCTCCCAAACCAAATAAAATGGCAATACAAAGAGTCCGTATGTTTCTTTCGCGGACAGGAACAACAACGAATATATATTTTTCAAAAGTGAACAGAACATCATAACATAAAACAAACAACTTTTACATTAAAATTTCCCATTAATAAAAAGTTGTTAATGATCCTAATTTCAAGATAGTAATGCTCTCTACAAATGCACATTCTTACTTTTAAGTGGTTTAAGAAGAACAAAGAATTGAGAGGAAGAACCTTTGCATGTGCAGTGAGAAGTGTGAAATGAAATGACGACAACATTCAAATACTGTAACGTGAGTACTTGAGGTGCAACAATCTTTGTACTAGTAACCATGAGTGATCTGAGAGCATTTTTTCTTGATCCATCGAAGTCCTTTTTTGAGCGTAGACTTAACCTTCCCTTCCACCCCGTAAACCTTGTACTTCGCTATCCTTTTCTTTCTCTTCGCTTCTGGATCGCTAAATCTCCACGGTTTTTCACTTCCCTCAGTTGATTCCGGTGTCCGACTCCCACTCCAACCGTGACTTTTACCGCTCACCACGTCCATCCTCCGGTCACCGCCGTAAGGCCGGTGACCTGACCCGTAACCCTCCATGTGCTGCCGCTGGAGGAGCGAACTAGGGACTTACTTTTATTGTTACTTTAGGGTTTGGAAGTTTCGCGAAAGGGTATATTGGGAAGAGAAATAACGTAACACGGTGTGCTGAGGCTACGAATCTGCAAGGTTCTGAACTTTGAAAAGTGACTTTGTGCTCGCTCGGAATCTGGGACGTACTTTCCCTGATTAAAGAAAACATGAACTGTTTTTTTTTTTTAAAACCTATATTTTTGGTTTATTCAAATTTAGAGAGAGGGAAAAAGATGACCACTTAGGAGTGGTGCAGTGTTAGATACTTGGGTTGCAGGAAAACTAATGACTTTGTCCATTTTGGTGGTGTTACCATGTGTGATGATTCCTTTTGCATACTACAGACGTCATCTCTGGTTTCTGGTCTCCACCAGATTTGAGGTGGTCCTCAAATCCCAATGGTATGATTATTTTGAGGAAAGATGTCATCAGTCATCAACCCTCAAGAGAATAGTAACGCACAACAATGATTCAGATTAAAACTCAACACTTCTGTAGATTCTACTAGTCTAGGCTAGAATTTATATAATAATTTTCAACTGGAATGGGAGTTATACTTCCAGGATAAGCCTACTGTCTAGCTACTAATTTTCATCTTAATGTTTGGTATGTGTTATTTTCTCTGTTTCTACATGAAGGACCTAACCAACAGTGAATACTACCAAATTATTATATCTTATGTGAGTATGTGCAAGATATGCGGTTCGTAAATTCTTCATTCTGAGTGTTTGTGGGCTCAAATAAATGTTTGTCTTCTTCATTAAGTTTGGGTACTTGGGCTTCGGATGAAATTATTTGAAGTGGATGTGGTCCGCATAAAGGTCATGTTGTTAAAGCCCAAATAAACACTGGGCCATGGTCCCTTTTTCAACAAAACTGTCTTTTGGTATAATTAATATTTGCATATAATTATTGAAAATAACATTTAACCTGTTTAGATATGAAGACAGATAAGAAACATGTAATTAACATAATTAATGGGGTGTTGTGAGAAGTAAAAACAAATATAGAGAGTATTACTAATCATCAATTAAAAAAAAAAAACTATATATCAATTATTTTTTGAAAATTAGTCTGTTTCACAATTTACTAAATAAGACATTAGGTCATATATACTGTCATTTACCTTTTACACCACTTTGATTTTAGAATTTAGTAGCAGTTTTACCGTGATCTTTCATATTGTGATGGGAAATTAACTATGAATGCAATCGCATTGTGGACTAGAAAAAATTATAACATTCTGAAATGAATTACTGCTACAGAAATTTTCTATACCCTGATTTCATCATACGGATTAGCTATATTCCGCAAACAATAATGCGAGCACTCCTGTGTTAGGTTCAATCCCAGTGCAATGATTAAAACTTAAAAGGAAGCAAACTTGATAGTTATTTATTTATTTATTTATTCTGATCTGATTATATGCAAGTGTTTGTGTAGTAGAATGAAATATAAGGAGTGGGGATGGATTTAGCAGTACGGTATCCTAGTCTTGAAAGTACTGTGATCCGATGAATAAATTGGTAAAACAAGTTTATAATCTTAAGGGGTTGAAAGAAAGATAAGATTTGGAGCAAAGAAGGTGAAGCAACGAGCTAAAAGTAGCACTAATAATATATAATAAACCTGCAACCTGATCTGATAGAGTTACAATTTGAGGTGGACATCCACTTCCCTATCTGCAGAAAAATCAAGGACAGTAGAAGCAGATTGCAGTATAGTGGGCGAGGCATAAAGTTGAAAAGGAAAAGATGTAGTACGGTGGGTGGAGGAAGGAATGAAAACGGGGCGTGACGGGAAGTGCTTTGCGGTGGAAGAAGCAGAAGCAGAAGTAGAAGTAGAAGAAGATGGAGGTGGAAGGTAAACGGAGGGCAGTGTAAGTGAAAGTGGCACTGATCTTATTATTGCATGGGAAGTGAGAAACGTAAGAGGAGTAACTGCAACAGAGGATGGTGGCATGGAGGAGCGTCTGTGGTTGTGGATTTGGAATCGCCTTGCTCTCTGACGCTCTTTCTTGTGAGCGTTTTGGTGGCCCCCTAAAGCCTGTGAGTTTGCGAAAACTCGCTTGCAGTAGTGGCACCTGAATTTTCTGTCCTCTCCAAATTTTCTTTCTGCAAATTCCTCCTCTTGCTCTGTTAGTGGGAAACCAAACAGTTTGGGTGCCGAACTCTTACTGTTCTGATTATTAGACATGTTTGTTTCTTTTCTCTATCAATGCATTCACACTCTTCTGTTCTATATATACACACACTCTTTAACTCCCTTCCCATTACATTCACTCACACTGTTCGTTTAACCTCAAGTTTTTTGTGTGAGATAATTGTAGCAAATATTTAGTGTTTAATATTTGCCCAGTCACAAAATATTTAATAAAAACAAAATTCCTTATGAGATATACACTAAGGAACAAAAAATATACGTGGTGATGTAGAACATGAATGGCTATCAAAACGACATGTGACAAAAGGCTTCGATATGCAGTTAACGATTGTAATTTCTGATAAGATTCATGTATCGAAATAAAAAGGTATACAGAGAGGGATCGTGCAATACAGTACTACAGGACAGAGGCCACGCCCGGACATTGAACGTGTGAAAGTTAAAAAAAAAAAAAAAAAAAAAAAAAAAGTTACTAGCACGATATACATACTTATCATCATTCTCTGTTCCATGTACCACAACTCTTTCTTTTCCTTGTCATATTCCCATTTTCCCTTCAACACATATTATTTTCATCCACTTGTCTGCATCCTGGAGTTGCCGTTGTAAAATCTACTTCAATTACGTAGATGTGAGATATGCCAAATATGATAGCCATATCTGTTAAAATCATAAGCCATAAATGTTCTGAGATGTGGTTGAAAAAGCGTCCCTATACATGTTAATGGCGCAACTATGTAGTTTTACTCACTTGCTTTTCATCTATCCATTTTGCTTTAATCATGCATTGATTCAATTCAAAGGTCGACGCAATGTACTCCCATTACATCACTGAATGGACTAGGCGTGGCTTTGTAGCCCCAAAATGCTTCTATCTGCTGCGTGGTAAACCCACGTTTCTCTCAACAGTTTTGGTTGTTTAATAAAGCACTTCATATACAACATATGTACATGAATTCGTCATGGTTGAATTCAATGTATGGGACTATGACATATCTTTCCTATACAAGAATCATGTTGATAAGCTATGCTATGATTAGATGTATGCAAAGCAAAGCAAAAAGCAAACATCCTTCTCCTTGGTATTGTAGGTTTGTGTTGTATATGTTGAGCTACGAGACAAACCCGCTTGTGATGTGATGGATCTTTTGGCTGATTCATAGGGCGTGGAATTGGGAAGCCAAGATAAGGATTTAGCTTAAATAGGCATAGCTTTGTCTCCCCTCTAAATTTCAGCCTCTTGTTTATTCAATTCATCTGGTTCTCTAAATTGGGTAAGTAAACAATCACTTATTCATGAAAATTATTCATATATAATTACGTTAAAACTATTATAACAAGAATTTGATTCTAAAATTCATGTCCATCGAGGAGATTAACGTCTTAAAAAAGTTTAACTATTTCAAAATATTGATTTTAGCTTTCATCTAGAATCATTAATATTTATTTTTGATAATAAATAGGTGGAGTATTAAGATAAAGTATGATTTGTTGTACTTGGAGAAGTCAAGACCTCGACACGTGTTTGAGTCTAACTATGTACATATCCAAAAGAAGACTAGATTGATGTCGGCCACTACAACGCGCGTGTCCTTCGTTCGCATTCTTCACTCCTCAATTGGGTTTGATCGCTTGATCACAGTGTCTCCCATACCCCTGCCACGATTGACCCTTGCTTTGTGAAGAATCTTAGCAAGTTGTGTGAGAAACGTTTCAGCCATCTACTTCTTCGTCACAGCAACTCTACACTTAGTTTTGCAGCACCTTGTGCAACAACCAAATACCCAAAATTATTTATGGAAAGGGTCCCATTCTCATTACCCCTTCATTTGAATCATTCCACAAGACAGCGTTTGTACATGTCCATGTGCAGTTTCTGTTTCTTATGTGTACTTCCCTACTTTAGCAAGAGAATTTCAGAATTCAGATGCATTTGAAGAAGCTAGCTACTTAGTTCAGTCCCCCACCACTCGGTAATGCTGTCAAATCTTGGCTTCCCTCCATGTTTTGGATTCTCATAGATAGACCAAATCATTGAGAATTGAGTGATGCATACCTAGCTTCCTATTAGGTTCATATGCCTCCATTCTTTGAATTATAAATTTATGTAATACAATTATGCATGATATAAATCTTCAAAAATTAATATTATGGTAATTTGAATGAAACTAAGCTTGAATCACTTAAACAAGTTTTCACATCAAAATTTGTGAATAAACTTAAATATATTTTCTTAATCTATCTTATGTTATATATAATTGAACTTTATCATTGTTATACATATTACATGAAACATGGTATTTTCAGACTTGTGCACTCCATTATATAAACCTTGTATTCTCTGGTGTCTTTACAAAAAGTTTTCCTTGGATGTCTGATATCACCATGCTTTGCAGAGGCAATGAAATACATAGTGCAGCACCAAGTACAGCAAATGGCCCACTCCTTTTTTCCCCCGGTTCAGTCCTTCTCTTGTTGCATATTACTTTTCGACAATTTTCACAAAATCTTCGTTGTTAATCACGGCTTGTCTTCTCGCTTAAAACCTCAACCCAAACCCAATAACGTATGCATTTGAGTCTGACAGATCTCTTTCTGCCCTCTTTTCTTCAGAATTGATAATTATCTAAGTCAATCATTTTCAACGTCAATTTATATCTATAACCGTGCCCAATATTTTCTTTAATTGTTAATAATTCACATAATCTTAACCTAATAAGTAACATCACCTTAAAGCTTAACCCAGACATCCCCACAAAGGCAAATTTCTTTTCGTTATTATCATTATTTCTCACTTCTGTACAGTCTGATCACTCTTCCAGCACATTATGGTTTGTTGGTACCTTGTAATGATTACACGAACTTAGTAACATGTTATTTCATAATGGTACGAGAAAGAATCTCTCAGTGTTTCTTCAACCATTTATATCTAATATACCATATCAATTGAACTTATTTGAAAGCAGTATATATGCGCTTGATTTAAATTAGTCTGACTTATATTTGCTTATTTAAACATGAGGCCACTAATGAACTTGAATTTAAGTTTACAAAATTGGACAGATCACATGATTCACATCAGCATCAAGGAAAAAGTATGAACAAAGTTAAAAAAAAAATCGATTTTTTGCAGGGTCACTTATTCCTGGATGTGTCCAAAACAGTACTGGTGCGTGATGTTGGGATGAAACACAAAATGGAATAATTTAATGGAGCACATGCATGATCAAGATTACAAAATCCTTGCAGATGGCCCACAGGCCAAGCCACCCTATTTCCTTTTTCAGTTCCAAGGAGGGAAGTAAAGCCCGTCTTGGACACAAATGATGAAGCAGGAAGACCTTTTAATGAATAGATAAGATTTCAAATCCAAGGTCAACTATGCATGCTATTGGCTCCTTTTATACTTCCATCTAGTTGCATTGTTCTACACAGTGGTGGCCACATTTTTGCCCCGAGATGATAGCATGATTCATACATTCCAAGGTCAGGATTTAATCAAATAATTCCACGTGACCAAACAACATATTTGTTCAGGTACAGGGTCTCTAGGTAGGGTTTAAGACTGTCCATAGGCATAGGGTTTTCTAGGTAGGGTTTAAGCATGTTTCTACAGGAATTTTTTTTCAAGTTAGGATTTAAATTTGTTTATCCATAATATTCAAGTATCGTGTCTAAGGTTATATCTTTTCCTTCATTCCAAGGTTGGAAGACCAAAGATAAAACCGGTAGCATATGACAGTGGTAATGTTACATGATCTACGTTGGTGGATGACCATCGTAGATAATTGACACCCCCACAGAAGATACGCAGTGCATGTAAGAGTCATTAACCAATAAGAAAATACATGGTCTTCTAATCTCGAACTCTGAGAAGGAACATACTGAACTAGTGTCAATGCCGATCGAGAGCGTCTTTGAGCCATATTGGATCGTCCGAGACGTTTATGAACTAATAATAATTATTGAAAATGGGTCATAGAAATGTTTATTTGATCTTGGTCATCATATTTCTGAAGGTGTTGGGAGGAGGGACCAGAGGTTCAGAAGTCGAAGACAAGATTAGATGGGCAGTGGTTTACCCATTACAGTTGGAAGTGGGTTCATGGTTGTTGTTCCACTTGGAGTCAAACCCAAACCGCAATTCATGTGATTTGTATCGTGTAACTTAAGAAACATAGGCCCCTTGTCTCTCTCTGCATTCAACTTTCGAATTAATAATTAATGTTGGGATCAAAGATTTGTGTTGAGAAGAGAAAGAAAAGTATAAAGTAATTATTGGCATTTGAGTTCCGTTCTTGAAAGGTCAAGCAAAAGGGTTGGGAAGTAGAAAACTGTCGGGGATGGTAAAATACATAAATTTGGATGGTTCTTTTAATCTTCCGTTTCTTTGTTGAAGTTAATGTTTCAATTTATTCTTTCCTTGACATTTTGAAACCAATCCAACGAAGAAATATATTATGCTAAAAAACAGAGTAGAGAAATTTAACCGAGCATATATAACAGAGTATATATCAATAAATAGTTGGATCTTAGTAATTTACCCATCTTCAATGGTTGTTATTATATTTTTTCGTAATTGTTTACTTTTGTTTATTTTATGAAGAAATTATTTGTATAGATATGGGTTATTGCTTAATTTTTTTCTATTATTTATATCTTATGATATGAAACTAATATGAGTAACCTAAAACCAGAGTTTATGTTTGCAACCATTCAATGATAGTACTTGTTTCTTGTTCTAGATATGAGCCCATATACTTGTTTCTTCTCTTGATTACATTCTTGTAAAATTATCCTTTTTCTCATTAATATTTGTCTGCTCTTTTTAAAGACTAGAACTCAAAACATGATTTTTTGAAAATATTCTTCTAAACTTTGATTATACTAACATACCTGAATTTTATATATATATTTCTTGGACTTGTGTTGTGGTTACGTGCAGGATCAGACTTCAAAGCAAGCTGCAACCAGAAAATAAATTATTAATTTCAGATAAAAACGATTGCAGAATTTAAAATATTCATTTGATATTCTAGATTACTGAATTTCTTTGTGCGCAGATACTTTATTATTTCCTTGCCAAATAAATCAGCCACTGCAGAAGCAGGTGGTGGAATCCTTTCAATTGTGCAAAATGAAATTCTTGAGGTTCAGGAACATGTTTCTTGATAAATTAATAAGATTAAATTAAAAAAAAAAAAAAAAAAACAGGGTAAGGAAACTAATTACAATTCGAAGGATGGAATTAAAGTAGAGATTTTAAATTAGCCTTGAACCCTATTCCTCTGCTTCTCTTTACACACCTGAATTGACAACAAACATAATCTACTGGCAAAAACTTCAATATATTAAACAAATAATAGAATTGGGTGGTACAAAATACCATCACTTTAAACAGTTTGGCATCTTTCTTTTCCCTTGATGAACAAAACGATAACTTTTTATTCGGTCGGTTTACTGTTCATTTCTCTTGGATTTGTGTACAAAATCCAATATAAACATGTTTGGGCTGGCACAAAATTGTTTGATAGCCCAGTAGACAACTTCAACATATAAAAATTGAAATATTCATAATTTCTTCAAATCAAACCTCTATTGTAAAATCCACTTTAACATTATATAATAATAATAATAATAATACAAATTTTAAAATTATATTTATTATTATTATATTATTATTAAATAAAGTTATGGAAGAGTTATGTAAAAAAAGTGTAGTAACGAATGCAGATATCTTACCAATTGTTTATCTCCTGAGCATTCGAGAAAATTGTTGTTCTTTCTAGAGTAACTCCTAAATTCTCCTTCCAATACATATGATACAGGTGGTAACAGATAAACATTGCCACGTCGAAATCAAAACACGTGTCGCGGAATTTCCAGAAAGTCCCTCCCATTCTTTTTCTCTTTTTGGCACTTCCTGTGGTGTGTTCCACCGTTAAATCTTAGTAGATCACGTCGTGTTCCAAACAAAAGCAAGGCATTGAAAAACAAAGCATCAAGGTAAAGATGCAGTCAAGACTAGCAGAAGCAACAAGAAGAGCTTCTTGTTCTTTATCTTCAACCACTCGTTTTAATATACAGCGTGGATTTTGCTCCGGCACTCGTAGCCGAACTGCAGACCCTGAAATCCATTCTGGGGAACTAGAAGCGGGTCCCAAAGTTCGCAGGGGACAACCCCAAGTAAGTGATGTCTCTCAAGGTTGAGTTTTCATGTAAACGAGGTTTGAAACAGATGGATATGCTAACTTTTGGTCTATGAGTATTGCAGGGTATAAGCACAAATGATAATGCGAAGAATGCCGAGATTGCTGAAACAGAACGCAATGCAAGCAGAGGACACGAGATGTTGAAGTCTCCAAAATCTCCATGTGAACCTTCCACGAAACTGAAGAGCGCGGGGGTGAACCAGCCATTGGACCCAATCATTCAGCAGAAAAGGGAGCATAGTTGGAAGGGTTTTGAAGAGGTGAGCTGTGCTGGTCTTGATGGAACTCCGTGGCTGGAGGATGAAAACAAAGGGGAAAAGGACAATAAAGATTACTATAAGCACCATAAAGCATCGCCGTTGTCGGAGATAGAGTTCGTGGATTCACGTAAGCCGATATCTCGAGCCTCTGATAAGACCGTGGATTCTGGGAGAGGCACTGATGTGATTGGGTGGCTGCCGGAGCAGATGGAGACGGCAGAAGAGACGCTACTGAGGGCCGCGGAGAGGTGGCGGCAACAGGCCATGCGTGGCGACCCTGATGCACCTCATTCACGGGTTTTGAGGGCCCTTCGTGGCGAAGACTTCTGAGAATCATAGCTAATCAGATGCAGTCCCACCTGGGCAGCCGTTTCCTCTACTCACCAGTCCGCACCTAGAAACACCACTTCCGTCCTGAGCTACAGTCCCTGTGTTATTGTACATATTTTGTATTTTGATATATATTTATCAGGATGAAGATAATTTTTTTTGTTTGCGATTTAAAATCAAATACATATTGTGTGCTTTTGATCATGGTAAGGAAATAAATTTATTTCTTTGCTCTTAAGAAGATAATCTAGTATGAAGATGATTATAATCAAATACATATTTTGGGGAGGGTAACTTTTTCCAATAAACAATTCTGTTTAATAATAATATAAAAATAATAATAAATTGAATTTTATTTAATAATATTATAATAAATTGAATTCCAGTTAATAATAGTATAATAATAAATTGAATCATTAAATAGATGTTTTAACAATATATTAATAATATTTTTTATAAATATTTATTCAATAATTTATTTTTAAAATTTTATATTATTATTTATATTTTTTTAATTAAAATTAATTTTATTTTATTCTTTCTTCATCAGTTACCTATTTTATTTCTCTCTATTAAATATCTATTTTATTTTATTTTTCTATATCAATCAACTAAATATTTTATTTTTTCTATGTCAATCAGACAATATAATTTCTATGTTATTATAATAAATACATATTATTTTATTTTATCTACATACATCAATTAAAAAAATAATATATAAGAAATCTTTTTTTTTCTATATCAATCAACTATAAAAATAATATAAGACAATATAATTTCTTTGTTACTGTAATAAATACATATTATTTTATTTTCTACATCTATCAATTAAAAAAATAATATGTAAATTTTTTTATTATAATAAAGACATATTATTTTATTTTCTTTACATCAGTTAACTAAAAAATATCATATATAAGAAATTTTTTATTATAATAAATACATATTATTTTTACGTCAAGAAACTAATATAATTTTTTATGGAGTCATATATATATAATTTTTCTTAAGGTATTGAAAAATTCATCTTCTATTTTATTCAAAAGTCCATCTTATTTCGTAGAGAAATACAACATATGAAATAGTACCCAAATTTTAAATTGTTTTGGTAAAATCAAAGTATTCAAATTGAACACATTCTTAATTAAAGAGTGTTCAAGTTATGTTATCTTAAACATAATTTATATCTTGTGAAGTTTATAGTTAAATATTTGTTACTAAGTGAAAAGTCACTGATTCTATATAATATTTAATCTCATTAAAATTTAACTAAAAATAAATAGTTTATCTTCTTTTTTTAAAATAATTTTTAACTAAGAATATAAAAGATGAAGAATATACTCTCGTGTTATCATGATTTAATAAAGTATATAAACTTACCAACTTTCTATACTTATAGTATTTCAAAGTTAAAAAAAAATTGATATAAAACTTATATAAATAAGATAAAATAGTATATGTTAGATAAAAAAATTTATATAATGATTAAAATAATTTTTTTTATCTAGTATACTTTTATTATGAAATCTCTTAATTATTTTCTTCATCTTCTAATAATAGATTTATAATTTAAATAAGATATATAGATTTTATATTGATTATATTGTTATAATATATTATCATTTATTTACATTAGCATAATAAACATCATCTAAATTTATCATGTTAATGTTTAATTTCTTATTATTATAAAATAAATAAAAAATCCAATATGTAACGAGGAGAACGCACTTAAAATGAAACACATAAGTAACCGTTACCAATTACTTAAAATCAAACACATAAGCAACCGTTACCAATTACTTAAAATCAAACACATAACAGTGACTCGATTGGTAAAAATATAAATTGTTTAAAAGTTGAAATGGGGTTGAATTGAGATTAATTTAATTTAATAAAATAATATTTTTATAATATAATAAAATTAATAATAATAACAATTTTTATTAAAAATAATTAAAATTATTATTATAATTTATAATAAAGTTTTAAATATAAAATATATTAAAAAATAAAGATAATAATATTAAAATAAGATAAAAATATAATAAAATAATTATAAGTTAAAATTAACGTACTAAGAAATAAAAAAATAAAAAATATTATATATCATATATTTTATACAAAATTATATTAAAATTTTGATTCTAAATTTTCATTTATAAAATCAGTTCAATAGAAAAAATTAATCGATTTTTTCAATTTTATTTTAATTTAATTACTAAAATAACAAACTAATTTCTAATTCAATTTCCTCAAATAAATGAATCGATTAATTCTGTTTTCAAAATATTGGACATAAGTCTCCCTCAAAAACATTTAACATTATTTTTAGTTACATATTTAATTCTGTGGCCCAATGTATGGTTTTAGCGTTCTTGTCTTCTAGATTCACCTATCCAAGGGATAGACGATTATGGATTTATGTTGATCAAATTTTTTCTTCTAAGTATTTATTCTGTTAAGTAATTATTTTTTCTTTAAAATAGTTTTTAAGTTAAAGCTATAAACAATATTTAATTTACTTTTAAAAATATTTCTTTAAAATTAATTTCAATTTAAAAATAAAAACTGTTTTGGAATAAAAGAAAGATGTGCCTTTTAGGTTTTTTCTTTTTCCATTATAATCAAATCTCTCTTTAAGGTTTTTCTCCTTGCGTATCTATTGGGCCCAATAATATCTTATTCTCCGTACTATTTACACATTGGGTCCATTAGGTATCAATCAAGTTCATCTTCCCCAAATAGGTTTATCTTGACCCACTTTACTCAGTAGTTGGACCCGAGCCCAACCAGACCCAATCTCTATGCACATATACCACAATCCCCAAGTCTTAAATTAGAAAAATATTTCTAATGCAAATACTAGAAATCGAAATAAACGTCGAATACACATCATTTCTTAATATTTCATGATATAATTGCGAAGTTCAACCACTTAAAAGGAATAAACAACCCTTAAAAATCATACTTACAGTGACCGTCGTCTTGATGTAGAGTGTGAAAAATTGTTTCTGCGTGTACTTAAATTTAGACGAAGATTAACCTGCTTAGGTCGCATTTCGACCATAATACGCATTTCGTACATAACTCACATTTCGGGTCTAGGTCACATTCTAATCATAGTACGGATTTTGTACATCGTGCTGATTTCATACATTGCTCAATTTTCGAGCGTAGTACGGATTTCTTACGTAGTGCGGATTTTGCACATTGTTCGGTTTCGAGCGTAGTACGGATTCGTACGTAGTGCAGATTTTACACATTACTCGATTTTCGAACGTAGTACAGATTTCGTATATAGTGCGGATTTCACATATTGTTCGATTTCGAGCGTAGTATGAATTTTATATGTAATATTACAGATTTTGCATATTGCTCGGTTTTCGAGCGTAATACAGATTTCACATATTGCTCGATTTTCAAGCGTAATATAGATTTAGTACATAATGCGGATTTTGCACATTGTTCGGATGTTGAGCTTAGGATACATTCGAATCATGCTATGCCTCCAAATGCTTCATCATCACCTGGGCTTGTTACTTCCACTGTCAACTTATAGTTCCTCTCTTCACCAATCTTGTCAAATTTCAACACATTTGACTTCACAGAGATGGAAAGACCTGTTGGTGCTCTCAGACTTGCTCTGTAAGTACCTATTTTTTCTTTAAAATAGTTTTTAAGTTAAAGCTATAAACAATATTTTAATTTACTTTTAAAAATATTTCTTTAAAATTAATTCCAATTTAAAAATAAAAACAAAATTAAAACTAAATAAAAATGACTGGATCTGTATTTTGGTTTTTAAAAAAAGTTCCTTTCTCTTTTGCTAAGCAGTGTATTTAATTTTCTAGGATCCACCACCCCCAAGTGCTATAGTCAACTACTATGTTGATGAGTTCTGCACGGACAACTAACGTTTGCATTCTTTTCATGTATGCAATTGTCCAAAAACCCACCTTCGTATTCTAATTTGGATTCTCTAGCTATTCACGTGACTACGAAAACGATGTATAAGAATGCAGCCAATTTATCTATTTGTGTACTTCAACTAGCCGATGGATTTTGCCGCTTCAATTTTCTTGATGTATTGCATGTACAAGGTCACCAAAGTGAGAGCGACAACAAACGAGGATTAATTATATATGATTCAATTCTAACTAAACCAATTTATCACAAAGTATCACCAAAAGTTTCTGTTAATACTTTACTAAATTATATACTAACAAATCATGCAGTTTAGCTGATTGCCACGCAACCTAGTGTCTCCTATTAGTAAGATATACACCAAACAACTCTCTGAGATTGTGTTTTATATGCTTTTGTCGCAAGATCTGATGATGAGACCATGGCGTAGAAGATAAAGCACCGACAACAAGTGCTGTCAGACCACCAATATAATATACGCACATGAGTATCATACCACTCTCCATCTTATTAGATTCAACCAAATTAAAGCCACTCTTTTCTTACATTTTGTTCTTACTTCCTCTTCCACCTTGCATCTTCTCTTGCTCAGATCAAAGTATCAAACAGTTCCTAACTATAATAAACATGGCTAGTTCATTGCCTTTGCATTCTTTCTTGTCCATTTTCTTCTTTGCATCCATTGTCAGTGTTCTAGCTACCACCCGAGAAGCCACTTCAACTGTGGCAAAAGACTTGGTCCCGTGCACAATGTGCACCGAGTGCGAGAACCCATGTCAACATCTACCATCTCCACCGCCCCCTGTGGTAGAGTGCCCCCCACCACCGTCACCGCCGCCACCGTCACCGCCTCCACCATCACCTCGACTGCCACCAGCGATCGTTGAATGCCCACCACCACCAAAGACACCATGTCCAGATAATTGTGAAACACCACAAGGACCACCCCAGACACAATACCCACCGGTAGTGTACTTTCCACCTGGAACACCGTATCAATACTATGTGCCAGGTAATGAGAAGAATAGCGGTCGAAAGATGAAGCCATTTCAGGGGATAATCTTCTCCAATTATCTGACTTCTTACTCTGTCCATTTCACTAAGTCCTTGATTTATGTGGCATGTATTTCCCTTCCTTATTACGTGTTTATTTAAATTTAGCGTATTTTATGTTTGAGTGATTCCTTGTTCCTTATAAGTGTTATTCATATTCAGTGTTAATATGAAGAAGCCAAGACATTTAAGTGGAATAAAAGAAAGAAAAACAACTGTAATGTGTCCTTTATGCTATTCATATTCAGTGTTAAACTTTGGTTAGTGTTCCACGTCGAAATAACTCTGGTTGATTAGTGAACTTTTGCATCTACATAGGAAAAATATATACTAACAACCATTAATTATTTAATGTATTACCATTAGATAACTTATTTTAATAATATTATAATAATAAATAAATAATATTATAATTTTATTATTTGAATAAAAAATTATTCAAAAAGATCTTTTATTAAGCTATTATAATTTGAGTTTAATCCTACTAATCTTGATATATTTTATTAAGTTATTACGAGTTGATATATTTTATTAAGTTATTACGAGTTGATTTAATTCTAGATTTGAATCTTTATAGGTTTGATTTATTAAGTTATTAAAAGTTGATTTAATTCTACATTTGAATCGTTATAGTTTTGATATCGTATTATTATATATATTAAATCAATTTATTTTGATAATGTAAGGATTATTGTAATTATTTTATTTATATGTGAGATTCAGATTCATGATCTTAAGATTTTGGAGTTAACTTTAATTTGATAATGTAAGGATTATTGTAATTATTTTATTTATATGTGAGATTCAGATTCATGATAAGATTTTGGAGTTAACTTTAATTATTTGATTTTAGTTTGACATCACACTGCTTGAGCGGATCCAAAAAGGTTTAGTTATCGGATCTAAAACTCCATAATATTTCGATCATACATACATACACAAATCTTAGAAGATTGATCGCTAGAATCGAGAAAATAACAAAACTAATTATTAGACACTACAACAAAGTTATAAAGGTTCAACTTTTTCTTTTAAATAGGGAGGGGATGGTTGTAAAATAAGGGATATTGTAAATTGAGAATGTTACAGAAAAGATTAGAGAAAAGGTTAATACTTAGAATTTTGGGTTCAATTTATATTATAAATAAAGACAACTTTATATTCTTCAAAAAGGTTAATACTTAGAATTTTGGGCTCAATCTATATTATAAATAAAGACAACTTTATATTCTTCAAGAGATACTATCTCATCTTCTCTTCTTTATTTTTTTTTTGTTTTATTGTTATCCTGTGTTTATTTACTTATTTAAGAGTTTCTTGTTAATTTTTGAGATCTTCGAAAATTTTAAGAAGTTCTTATTATATCTTGGAAGACTTGCGCAATACACCGCAGATAAGTTCTTAAAGGACAATAATTAAATATGTCTCAGGAATAAAATTTGTTTGCGTATCTATAAACTTTTATAACAAAATTCATGTCACAAATAGTCATAATATCAATAACTTTCATAAGAATAGGTTCGATGTTAATGACAAAATTCATATATCATGTCATTGACAACCACATTATGGATCTCATAGAGTCTTGAGTTAACGATGAAAGTTACATATTGAGTAATTGGTGATCACATTATAAATTTCATAAAGTCTTAAGTTTATGGACCTTGTGGGGTCGCTTGTCATTGTGGGTCATTCCTCGAATATCAATCAAGAATTTCTTGTAACATATTAGGGACCTTATTGGTATATTGTCATTAATCACTAGTGCAGAATAGGGTTTTTACGTCACCCAATTGTCGTCACATGCATGTATATTCGACGTAAATAAAACGCGGTGACAATTTTGTAAATATGGGACAAAAATTTTACGTCGCACATCCCAGTATGCGACGTAAAAAGCCTTTTTTACGTCGCACCTGACACTACAAGAAAAACACCAAATAGTGACCGAAATTAGTGACTGAAAAATTCAGTCACTGATCCCTTTTTATATTTAGTGACTGATTTAGTGACTAAAATTTCAGTTACAGATATCGGTCACTGATTCAGTCACCGAATCGTTCACTGATTCAGTCACTACTAGAAAAATGGTTAATAGTGACCGAAAGTGGTGACTGCATTTTTTTTTATATTTAGTAACCGATTTAGTGACTAAATTTTCAGATCACTAAAAAAATAATTTTTAAATTGATAACTATTTTTCATTTATATAAATATTTTATTTAAAATATTTGAAATATAAATCTACTTAATAATTTAAAATAAGTGATAACATTGTTAATAACATTATAAAAATTTTAAAAAAATAGTTTACTAACTTATTAAGTAATTTAGTAATATAATTATTTAATTTTATTTTTTAATTTAGCATGTGAATAAAAAAATTAAAATTGATTATTAAATTAGTCACCGAATCGGTCATCTGATTCGGTCCGATCAGAATCGGTCACATCGAATCGGTCACTAAATCAATAATTAAATTAATTATTAATTTAGTCTCTTTATATATATATATATATATATATATATATATATATATATATATATATATTACTTGTATGTTAATAAAAATTTATTTCAATGTATTTATAAAAAATTAAAATTATTTTAATTACTGAATTGATATTTTAAATTTATATTAATATCTTGGATAATTTAATAGTTGGATATATATTTTAAGTTTATATTAGTCATTTTTATATAAAAGTGTAAAAATAAAGTGAACTTATTTTAAAATTTAATTAAACATAATAATATAATATAATATTAACCATAAATATGTGAAGATTTAGTTAGAAATTAATTTTAAGTTTTATTGTTTTTATTTAAAAAAAATCGTTAAAAAAATTTAAAATAATTAATTAAAGTAAAGAATTTTAATTTAATAAGTGTGTTAATATTATTAGAAGAATTAAATTTATATTAATAATTATATAAAATTATAGATATATTAAAATTTAAATTATTGGTAATTTTTTTAATTATTAAGCTAAAATTTGATAATATTAATAAATTAAAAATAAAAAATATATATATATATATATATATATCACTTTAATTTTTTTAATTAAAATTAATTTCATAAAAAAATTAATATTTGAAAATTAAAATGCAAAAGTATATATATTTATCTTTTATTTAATTATACTTTTACACCTAAAAAAAGAAAAAAATAATAAAATTTTCTTTTATTAATCATTTTTATAAAATAAAAAAATATATAATAATTACTTTTATAAAAAAAAATTTAACGTTCTTGATTCTTTAACTGATTTGTTTTAAGCTGATACGACAACGTTTATATCAATTAAAACATTTTACAAAAAATCTTCTAAGTTGATTTAATCGATTGTTTCAGCGATTCAATCGATTGAAATACTTGCAAAACTTTCTCGTAAAACTTTTCAAGCTATTTTAAGCTGATAAAAATAAGTTTTAATCGATTAAAACGCTGTGCGTGAAATTGTTTTAATCGATTGAAACGAGATTTAATCGATTAAAATAGTTCTGATCGGTCATAACCGCATTCGATCGATCATAATTGAAACGATATAATAGCGGTTCCAGGTTAACCGCTATCTAAGTGAGCTTTTAAGAGCGGTTCCTGTGTAACCGCTATCTAAAATGTATCTCACTTGAGCAACACTCTTCTCGCTCGAGCGAAACGCCCCTGCACAAAATTGTCATTCTCGGGTTGTATTTAGCTTGAGCGACTCTAGTATCGCTCGAGCGATATTTGATTCTGATCGATTAGATTTTAGAAATGATCGATCATATTTGATAATTTTTTCAAATAATTAATTATAATCAATTAGTTTTCTAAATTATTGATTAGAATTTATTAGTTTTTCAAATAATAGATTAGAATTGATTAATTTCAAAATATATACTAAAAAATTATAATTAAAAATATAAATTAGTTAAGAATATTGACTATTGTAAAGATAAAGTAGAACATGGGAGGAGATGATGATGATAATATAATGATAGAACTTACAAAAATGTAGAATTGAGAAGTTTGAAACAAATAAAATTAAGAAAATAGATATTTAATTACACTTTTAATAAATTTAAGATAACACTAGTTTTGATTTTTATTTTTAAATATTTATTTTAATTATTTAAAATAGAGAAACTATAATTTTAGTTTCTAGCTACTGAATTTAAAGAATTAAATTTATTATTATTTAATCTTTTAATTTGTAGAATTAAACTCAATATAATTGTTAAAAATACTTTGTAGAGGCATTTGAGAAAGCTTTTGTCAAAATACTTTGTTTTTAATTGTTAAAAACATTTGTAGAGGCATTTTGCAAAATCTTTTAAGTGAAGAAACCTTATGCAACAAAAATATTTTAATTTTAGTATTAAAAATTTAAATTATATTTTATTAAATTAAACTAGTTACAATATATTTTTTTACTTTGAGAATGAACAATATAATTAAACTCAAAATTGACAATATTATAATACATTTTTGAACTCTTTTGGATTAATTTTTTTTCCTAATTTTTGATAAAGTTAATTTTAATATTTAAAAGTATTTAACATTTTGAATTCTGAAAGGTTTTCTCTAATAGCAAATTTAAAAACATAATATTCAAAAAAATAGTTAATGTAAGTTTTCATGAGAAGATATGATAGCGGTTCCACGTTAACCGCTATCTAAAGTATAATTTAGATAGCGGTTAATGGTTAACTCGCTATTAGAAGTGCACTTTTAAGAGCGGTTCTTGTGGAACCGCTATCTCAAATGTATTTCGCTTGAGCGACAATATTCTCGCTCGAGCGAAACGCCACTGCACAAAATTGACATTCTTGGGTTGTATTTCGCTTGAGCGACACTACTCTGGCTCGAGCGAAATACGATTCTGATCAATCATAACTTGAAATGATCGATCATAATTGAGAGGATATAATAGTGGTTCCCTTATAACCGCTATCCGAAGTGTATATATGATAGCGGTTAAGGCTTATACGATATCGAAGTGTATT